CAATTAATAAGCTATTTTAATTATAAATTGTACAATTACCATATTAATTATGTCGTTTACATAAAGAAAACAGTATTTCGTTCTAATTATAACTCAATTGACCTTTGGACACTTACTTTGGCCATAGGTCTTGAGATTTCAACTTGCTGTATTATCATTGTTTTGAACAGCATTTCGAAATCTTTTTTTCCTCAATTCGGCATTTCATTAAAAAATATTTTGTATAAGAACGACAGTTTAACTATAGGATTTTTTTTTATTTAAATTCACTTTTACGGAACAATTCGTGTGAACAATAGGAAAAAACACGAATACTTATTGTAGAAAAATCTAAACAGTAGCGTAACCAAACATAGCATGCAAAATACTCTAATTCATAAGACTTGAGATAGAAGTATGACTGGATGCATAACTTACCGTAGCTAAACAATGGATTGTTATCAAAAATATTAATTTAGAAATTTATTATATCATTCTAAAAAGTTTGTTTGATTTCCTATTAAGTGTTTACTACTGGCCTAAATTAATGCTAATAACTCAAAACATTGAGGCATGCTGGATAATTTTGAATAAGTGATTGTTGGATTTTACCACTTTGTAATTCCTTTACAATTCCTTGACACATTGGGTACACACAATTTTCTTACTCCCCCACTTCCCAATTTTTAGCATACAAATTCGTCATTTTGTACTGGAAAATCCGTTCGAGAAGTGAAGTAATAGGTCTCCCCACCCCAAAACCGACAGTCTACTAAACTCGTAATCAAAGCAAAGACCACAAAAAAGTTACTTTACTTAAATCAAATCCCTTGTAACAGAAATAAATATAGCTTACTTAACTTCTGACCACAGTCCTTTACCATCACAAAGCTAACTCTGGGCCACAGTCCCCCCCGACGCAAATAATGCTAACTCACCTCCTGAACACTGTCCTCAAGCAACACAAATAATGTAGCTTACTTAACTTCTGACCACAGTCCTTTACCATCACAAAGCTAACTCTGGGCCACAGTCCCCCCCGACGCAAATAATGCTAACTCACCTCCTGAACACTGTCCTCAAGCAACACAAATAATGTAGCTTACTTAACTTCTGACCACAGTACTTTACCATCACAAAGCTAACTATAGACCACAGTCCCCTCCCAACGCAAATAATGCTAACTCACCTCCTGAACACTGTCCTCAAGCAACACAAATAATGTAGCTTACTTAACTTCTGACCACAGTACTTTACCATCACAAAGCTAACTATAGACCACAGTCCCTTCCCAACGCAAATAATGCTAACTAGCCTCCTGAACACTGTCCTCAAGCAACACAAATAATGTAGCTTACTTAACTTCTGACCACAGTACTTTACCATCACAAAGCTAACTATAGACCACAGTCCCTTCCCAACGCAAATAATGCTAACTAGCCTCCTGAACACTGTCCTCAAGCAACACAATTAATGTAGCTTACTTTTAAACTCCTGACCACAGTCCCCTCCCAACCCAAATACAGTGACCTTACTTAACTCCCGAGCACAGTCCCCTACCAACACAAATAATGTAGCTTACTTAACTACTGACCACAGTCCTTTACCATCACAAAGCTAACTCTAGACCACAGTCCCTTCCCAACGCAAATAATGCTATCTCTCCTCCTGAACACTGTCCTCACAAATAATGTAGCTTACTTAACTCCTGACCACAGGTCCCCTCCCAACACAAATACAGTGACCTTACCTAACTCCCGAGCACAGTCCCCTCCCATCATAAATAATTAAGCTTACTTATCGCCTGACCGTGTAAATTTTAGGGGTATTCGCTTGTTTTTCTTCTGCCCTTCAAAAGTCTCAAATCGGGAGATCTAAGCAGATTAGGGTTTACCAGTGGCATTTGATCATGTCCCTCCGCATTGCAATTCCTCCGCTGAGCAGTTCTGCCTCTCTGGTTACGAATTTCAAATACCTTCACTACAACGTACTCTTGGACGTTGTTTGATAAATTATGCTTAGATGAAAAATTAATATTACCAATTATATAATAATCTTTAGTAGTGAGTCCTAGCTATATTATTCTCCCAGCTGGGCTTGGTTGGTTTGCCGTTTGCTTTACACACAAACCAGATTACAGTAATGACATTGTTTTGTGCAAGCTAGTGCCGTGCGGTAATGGAGCGCTGGGTACGAATTTTAAATGAATTGTAAAATGTTCAGGCGGATAAAATATTACGCTAGAGTAAATTATATTTCAGCTGGTTTATGAGGGTATGGACAGAAGCACATACTATAATACTAACAGAAGCCTCAAAATTTCCTGAGTATTATAGATTTATCGCTATCTACATATTATGTTCGCAAAAAAAGTATTGTGTAATTTTGTTGTTTTTTATGTTAATAATAAATATTTACGTATAGGTTTATACAGGAATCGCGAAATTATATTATTTTATGGAATTACTCGGCGCCTTATATTCCTTTCTCCTTCCTCTGCCGCAACGCAGTTTGAAGTATAAGCTGCATTCGTAGTTCGAAGGCGTTCACTAACACGACAAATTTTGTACGAATTTCACTATTTAAAGCTTGCAGATAAATTTATGAGCATCGTGTTACGTTTAAAACTCACAGATACTAGTTTTCGAACGAGCGCCCTTTTCTAAACATCCAGTTAAAAACGTTTTGCGATTGGAAAACTGTGAACGACTGCACTGAATTTTAAAGTCACCTATTTTCCATTACGTTTAAATATATTGTTTATATATGCTAGAAAACCTATCGTGGATTTTCGCATGAGTTTGAATTGAATGTAACTACTGTAAACTTGCATAACATTATTAAGTAGGGAAACACCCGAAATCTTTGTTGGAAATTGGAAAGTGGTGTCACACATCCTTCTAGTTTTTGAACTATTAAACTTTTTTTGTATTTATAACCTAAAATATATTTCAAGTTGTTTCGAACATATTCCAAGGTTAAGTTAACTGATTCCAAGTAAAAAATCAAATCTTGTTCCAAACATAGATACAAATAAAATATTTTTATACGTTTCCATATTTTACCTGACTCAACATGCATTTGAATTAGTTAGGGCAGCTACCGTATTATGTTTTCCTCCCAAATCTTTATCTTAAATTTATTTTCAGAATCAGGTCGGTTCCAAACCATCCGGTTACTATATCACAAATAATAAATCACTTATAAATAATTTCACATAAATAATGCGAATCCCACAGCTTTAATAGCTCTAATTACTAAACCAATACGATAATTTCCAAATTTACGTAGGTATTTATCATTTACTTTAAATACTCAAATACAATCATCTTCATGGATCAGCTGTAGTCATTTTTTTCTACAAAAAGAACGCATATCATAAAGTTTACCACTGTGAAATTTTTCTTATAGGATAGTTGAGAGGAACATAACAGGTGTTATAGTTTTATAGTAAGCCATTCTTTCAGAAAACATTGTATGAAATAACGCAGTATTTTATGCCAGTAGACTCGTGTGACACAATTAAACCGATTGAATTTCCCATCTAGGGAATAAGCCACCTTGGATCTCATGGTCCCGCAACGAATTTACTTTTTCGTTTTGATTAGAGACCAAAAACACCATTCGTTCAAATTCATATTTATAGTGCACTATAGCTCGAGGAATATCGATGCAATTTCGATTAAAGTTGGTACAATCGTGTGAATCATCGAACGGGTTCGTAAATCAGCTGATCGGGCCACGGGAACGGGATTTTATGGTGTAAAATTGGGGCCCTCAAAAAACGAATTTCTCTCTAAACCATTTTGTAGATCTCGAAAGAACAAATGCTGCTTGTATTGTGTCTTAAAGTATTTTTGTACGGTTAAAATCCAGAAAATTCTAAATATACAGTACTGTAAATTTAAAATGATCATGCTATTCTCATGGAGAAGAGGCACTGTTTTAATAGGTAATTTTTAAGTGAAAATCCAATGAGGGAACGTATTTATTTATGCGACATTTGCTTAGTCTTCAGGTTTGTTGCAGCGCGGGTACGTATATATTTAGTCAACGGTCCTACAGTACTACTACTGTATGTACATGACGCGACCAGCTGTTGCTGTTGAACTGCTGGATTGGTGAAAGTTCCGCGACTTGTGTTGTGCAACTTCCAAGCGCGACCCGCCACCACTCATGTCTTGCATTGAGTTGTCTGCGGCCATTTATGGGTTTGCATCTTATAGTACGAAACAAAGATTCTTTAGAACGGTCAAGCGCTTTCTCTTAATCTTATTTGCTCAGAGTTTCAAACGCGTTGATCCAGAGGGTTTCAACTAATCTCAGAAGATTTAAGTTGTAGTTGTTGCTACTGGAGGAATCTTACTCCGTTCCCAAACCTTAATGTTTAAATCTAATGAACTAATGTTGTATTGGTGTAGGAGCAATTCTGGTTACTGTATTTCTGTGATTACTTCAAAATCTTATAACTAATGATTCGTATGCTAGTAGGAGCTGAAACAGAATAAAAGCTTAGGTATATGAAATCCATTTTAGTAATTTATATTACTGAACATATGGTTTATTATTGTGTCGGTCTGCTTGAAATTTTTGATGTATATGTTTTGTATACTCGTAACCTTTTTTTTGCCAAGATAAAAACCACTTTCACCAAGGATCAAATAAAAAAGCCATGGTTTGAACCTCGACAACAAAATAAACAGGATCGGCCCAAACAATGACCCTTGCACAACGCCACAATTCTCCAAATTTCCATTAGAATATTCGATGCTACACATCCACACCTGGAACTTTATCGGTTGAAGAGCTAATACATACAAGAAGTACAAGCACATACTCTTATCACAAAAGGATCTAACAGTTTAAAAAATTATTGAATCGCTGTATCAAAAGATTCACTCAAATCGAACATATTCTAAAAACTCGTACCAATTTTAAACCGATGTTGTATTGATTCTAATGTTTTACCCATACCGTTTGAACTTCAGCGAAATCTAATCGTTTTGTTTCGTTTGTTTCAGCTCAAATTGAAATAATCCCTTGCAAAGTCTGTGGGGACAAGAGCAGTGGGGTGCACTATGGGGTGATTACTTGTGAGGGCTGCAAAGGGTTCTTCCGACGCAGTCAATCTTCTGTTGTGAACTATCAGTGTCCGAGGAACAAGAACTGTATAGTGGACAGGGTCAATCGCAACAGGTGTCAATATTGCAGGCTACAAAAATGTCTGCGATTGGGCATGTCCAGAGACGGTAAGCCACTTATAATATTTAGTTGAATTATGACCGTACTGAGCTAAACCCTCATGACTTTTCTTGGGGTCTAATCACAACTACTTTTGAGATGTACCCAGGAATTAATCCCAAAATCTTGCAAAACAAACTTGACAATGAATGAAAATTTAAAGTAAAAAAATAAGTATTTATAATTATAGAATGATGAAATCTCAAATGTAGAATAGTACAAATTGCCGATAGTTAGTTAAATAAAACGGGGTTATTTCAATTATTTTTAAACTATATTGGGTTTTAAGGTGATATAAATTTTAGTTATTTTTTAGTTTAGTTGTATTTTAGTTACGTTTTATATCCACAATACAGTAGTATATTACGTTACTGAAAATAAGTGTTTGCCGGACGAGTGTGGTCGTTCCCGTGCGGGACGAAGTCGAGTACGGGATTACCATACGAGTCCGGTACACACATTTTGGACGAGTTACGTATGATATTTTACGCCATGCTAAGCTAACTTAACAATAACAAATCTATACAAATCCTTATTTATTCCCACGGACTTAAGAATCACTACTCATAACCTCTAAGAGATGTTATGTTTTTGTGTAAAACCACTCATTGCCAAATATAATCAGCTGATTGGTGTCCGGTAAAAGTTCATTAAAGTACAGTAGTACATAATGAAACCGCAGTTGATTAAGCTGGCGGCAAAAAAGCTGTTTTCTGGACTAATATCTTACGTAGTAAGTTCGTTAAAACAGTGTAAGCGTAAAAGTGTTTTATTTTTATATTTTTGAAAATCTCATACAAACCCTAATTGGGCCAAGGTATTCCAGTTCCTCTAATGCAACACTGTCGCTTAACTCCCACACTATAGTCTGTATGATGGAACCTGTGTACGTTTATTCTGTATTCCCAAAACAAATGAAGAAATGGATAATTGTTGTACTGTAGTTATTATTATATATAATATAGTTAAAAGATTTGGAATACACTTTATTTATTATTACCCGAAAATCATTACGTTATAAGTTTTTGTCATCAAATTAGTTGGCGTAAATCAGTAAACACTTAATTTATAATTCGTATAAGTGTTAGCATTTTAGGTTACCGTCTATTTTCTATGTTTCCTGCTTTGTATTGACGAACAAAACAGATAAATCGTGTCAACGATCTTAAAGAAAAGCCATTGAATGAAATAAAGAGTGAGTGGACAACGAAACAGATGATAAACGGTCAACGAACTGCCAACCCTGTTATCAGTAAATTGCCTACGTAGATTGCACGACGCTTGACCGCGTACGCCTAACGTTTCCTCCATGGGTCAGTATACCAGAATCGCAGAATCAGAATCCCAGCATCACAACGCGTTGGTTTTACATCGAAAATAGTAGATAAAACATGAAAAGAACATATATGTAGCTAAATGCATCAACTCTAGTTCACTAAAAGGCTGTTGACATATAAAAGGGGGTTTCAGATTTTCATTCGTAACCAGAAAGATTTAAATAACAACATTTAAATAATGCTACAAATTTGTCAGCATATAAACAGTTGGGTAAAATGATAGCCATGACTTGGCTACTCATGATAGCTTACAGAAAAATATATGTACATTAAATTTCACATGCTATAAAATGCTATGTTCTTAATCAGTTTCATTCTAAAAATTATCTCAAAATTCTTTTCCTGTCATATAGATGGATGTAAGTCAACAAAGCCAAAACTGCTGTTAAGATAAGTAACGCCATAAAATAAACAACACTTGATACCATTTCTCACGCCACCTGCCGGTGCTAGGTGGCGTAGCGTGACGTTAGAGTGATGTAAATACCAACAGAACAACATGCTACCCTCACCACAATCACTAGTGATAGTTGCTAGGTGGCGTAGCGTGACGTTAGAGTGATGTAAATACCAACAGAACAACATGCTATCCTCACCACAATCACTAGTGATAGTTGCTAGGTGGCGTAGTGTGACGTTAGAGTGATGTAAATACCAACAGAACAATATGCTATCCTCACCACAATCACTAGTGATAGTTGCTAGGTGGCGTAGCGTGACACATCGTGACGTCAGAGCTATGTAAATACCAACATAACAACATGCTATCCTCACCACGTCACTAGTGATAGTTGCTAGGTGGCGTAGCGTGCCGTTAGAGTGATGTAAATACCAACAGAACAACATGCTACCCTCACCACGTCACTAGTGATAGTTGCTAGGTGGCGTAGCGTGCCGTTAGAGTGATGTAAATACCAACAGAACAACATGCTACCCTCACCACGTCACTAGTGATAGTTGCTAGGTGGCGTAGCGTGACACATCGTGACGTCAGAGCGATGTAAATACCAACATAACAACATGCTATCCTCACCACGTCACTAGTGATAGTTGCTAGGTGGCGTAGCGTGCCGTTAGAGTGATGTAAATACCAACAGAACAACATGCTACCCTCACCACGTCACTAGTGATAGTTGCTAGGTGGCGTAGCGTGCCGTTAGAGTGATGTAAATACCAACATAACAACATGCTACCCTCACCACGTCACTAGTGATAGTTGCTAGGTGGCGTAGCGTGCCGTTAGAGTGATGTAAATACCAACATAACAACATGCTATCCTCACCACGTCACTAGTGATAGTTGCTAGGTGGCGTAGCGTGCCGTTAGAGTGATGTAAATACCAACATAACAACATGCTACCCTCACCACGTCACTAGTGATAGTTGCTAGGTGGCGTAGCGTGCCGTTAGGGTGATGTAAATACCAACAGAACAACATGCTACCCTCACCACGTCACTAGTGATAGTTGCTAGGTGGCGTAGCGTGACACATCGTGACGTCAGAGCGATGTAAATACCAACATAACAACATGCTACCCTCACCACGTCACTAGTGATAGTTGCTAGGTGGCGTAGCGTGCCGTTAGAGTGATGTAAATACCAACATAACAACATGCTATCCTCACCACAATCACTAGTGATAGTTGCTAGGTGGCGTAGCGTGACACATCGTGACGTCAGAGCGATGTAAATACCAACATAACAACATGCTACCCTCACCACGTCACTAGTGATAGTTGCTAGGTGGCGTAGCGTGCCGTTAGAGTGATGTAAATACCAACATAACAACATGCTATCCTCACCACGTCACTAGTGATAGTTGCTAGGTGGCGTAGCGTGACACATCGTGACGTCAGAGCGATGTAAATACCAACATAACCAGGGCCGGATTTCCCAATAGGCCCGGTAGGCCCGGGCCTATGGGCGCAAGGTCCCAGAGGGCGCACGACCGAGAGGATTTTTTTTATATCTAAAAATGAAAATAAATAGTCTTAGTTGATAAAAAAAAACTGCCTGTTTAAGCGTTATGATTCTGAGGTTCATAAGAAGAAATAATTGTTAGGAAACCTAAACTATTTTTCGGAACTACGCATCAATTTCGTTACAAAATTGGTAGCGAACACCGGTTATACGGGAGTAGGCTGTAGGGATGTTGACGTTGACGAGCGCCCTAGCGGTACGCATCGTATTGCCACTGCACTGCCACTATGCTGGCTCGGGCTCGGTACTATCTGATCAGAGTGATTAGGGGGGCATGCGTGGTAGACATTGTTACCACCCTCACTTCACAAAACAAAAGTTATTAACTAATAAAAATATATAATACGGTGTGATGAATATGAAATCAACAATGAATTTACCTTTAAAATTTACGAAAAAATATGAATTTCAGTTTGCATTAGATTTTAGAAAAATGCAATACCCTTCAAAGCACCATTAATGCTGTAATTTTCTCCTCAGACCTAAGAATCGGTATTGTTGGCCGGAATATTGCTCTGTTTTGCTTTGGAAATATAACCTAGATCATTGAATAGTCAAAGCCTAGATGCAGTACAACTAAGGGAGTATGTTTTATCTATGGTACAACCATAGGTTAAATGTAACTCACTCAAGTCGACTTCTTATGACATTGTTAATTCAAAATTTGTCAATGTCTAGTTTATGTTGGTGACACTTGATGTTAGTTATCACGTAATTTTGTTTCTATTATTTTTGGTTTAGTTCTGTGATGTGGGTTTTAATTTATTTTAATATAAACAGGAGACGACCAATTTTTAATGATTAGATTAATGTTTTTTTTTATAAACTAGGTTTAAATATAGATAAAACATACTCCTTAAATAAAAAGAATTGTTTTCAGCTAGGCTAATCCAAAACGATGACAAATCTACTAAAGGAGTATGTTTAATCTATGGTATCACGTACTGTATGGAGTTCATGTTTTTGACCCTGAATTGGAATCAATGGCCATGTTTTTTTTTTTTCATGAATGCTCGGTGAGTTGAGTTGTTTTGTTTCAGTTCAGTCCCACGGCGGCCACGGCCACAAACGTGAGCATTTAGTAAAGGCATAAATTTGCTTAAAGTGTTTAAGACGGCATTTTGTTAATGCTAAACAAGTCAATTCTTAAAAAAAACTTGCAATGCAACGATTCCGACGAAGAGTGATACTCAAGCAATTAACTTAAGCCTATGGTCGTGATACAGTTTTTAATAAAGGTTTGAAAGAAAGTAACTGTGACCAGACTAGGGGGCGGAAAATTGTTTTGGGCCTAGGGGCGCAAAAATGCTAAATCCGGCCCTGAACATAACAACATGCTATCCTCACCACGTCACTAGTGATAGTTGCTAGGTGGCGCAGCGTGCGTGTTAGTTTAATATCAGCAATCAATTTTTAGCATACAATTGAAACCAACGTGAATTATTCATGTATCCTTTGCACTACTAAGGACATTTCACTATCAAACAATTACAGTAAACAGGGATTTTTTGTTTATTTATCGTCTATGAGCACATATTTATCGTTTCTGAAATTTGAATACAACACAGCCGTGATTCTAATTTTAATGTCAGAACACCTTAGGTTTCAGTTTCAATTGTCTTCAATTTTGAAGCAAATGACCTCTCTCCAGAGGACACTGAAATGCCAATGTGAAAATCCTTGCGTGTGGTGGGAGGGCTGTGAAGGGTGACTGACCCTTCTTGGCACTCTTCTATTCCGTTTTATATTCCCTTACTTCAGAAAGGTATAACGTTAAAATTTACATTCAACATTAATCTAAAATATTCCTTAATATACTTATCATTGCGTGCATAATATACAAATATAGCGTCGCATTGTATAACAGTTTTTATGTTTTATATTAAGTCTAAGTTAATCTGTGTTAGATCCTCGGATTATTTATTTTTACTCCCTTCTTTTACGTATTCATAAATATAACGAAATTACAATTGTAATATTTTTACCTTAAGTTTTGATTTGTTTATGCCATCTGGCACAATAAAGGGGTTGTAAATGGAAAGGCGAATAGCGTGTGGCAAGGTGGAACCGGAAGTAAGTTTCGCGGGGTGGTGGGGGGGAGGGGCGAGCGTTGACCTCCCCTTGTAAGCGCATTTACTTGTGAACTTTTCATAAGTTGCTAATTAAATGTTTTATTTTTGACGGCAAAATGAGAATATGCCCAATTAGCGTTCTTAAATCTTAAGTTCCTCGTGGCAATTCCGGGTTCAGGACCTCGGAAGTTTCGGCAAAGAGTTAAGGGGGTGGTGAAGGGGTTAGAGCGTTGACCTAGCTAGGTCGGTGATCTTTCTTATCACCAACTTTTATCTCTACCAAAAACGCCGCTGGAGACTGGTATCTTTACCAATATTTTTGCACTCCTCAAAGTTTTAACAGGTTTCTTGAATTGTTAGCTAATATACAACTTTGATTTTCAGTATGGAGATATCTTAAGATACCACACTAATTTAAAGGTATCATCGGTAGAAATAACGTAATTCTAGCCTCCACACCGCAGCAAACCTGCAAACTAAGAAAATTTCAATTTACCTGGATATTCACTTAAATATTCCCTTAAAATTGTCGGATTTATTTTATAATAAAGTTTAATTTTGATGAGAACCATGGATTGGTGCTACGAGCGAGGTAATAAAGTGTGTATTTACCATGTTTTATCAAAATTTATCCCTAAACAAGCAAACTACAACAGTTTATTATCCTTAAGCATGCCATGGGAATTTAAAATTTACAGATATTGGAATTTTCCCCATGACCCATGACCGGTTTTGGGGCTTACAAAACCCCTAAAATATATTAAATTATATGTTTTTATTCTTTATGGAATAGTTTGGAAAAATTGGGAAAACTTTTCGCCTTTTCTCTTCTGGGGACAACAAAACAAAAAAGCAAATCGGTCCCGGGGCTATGTTTTGACTTAACATACTTTTAGTGAATTTTCCATATAGGGAATATTAGTGAATTTTCCATATAGGGAATATTAGCAAATTTTCCATATAGGGAATAAGCTATTCATATGTAAGTGTGTGTGTGTCCATTAGCGCGATAACTCGAGCAAAAATGATCCGATTTTGATGAAATTTGGTACAAACGTGTAAACCTACGTTTATTCGAACGAGTTTGCGAACCAGCATAATCGGACAATGGGAACAGGGGTTTATGGCGGGTTTTATGGAGGTAAAAATATATTTTTCCCATTTTTGACCTTAAAAACACAAAATTTCATCATTTCTCTCCAAACCGTTTTGTAGAGCTTAAAAAAAGAAATAATTTTGTATATTGAAGCATTGTTGTATGCCCAACGGTTACGGAGGTAATAAAAAATAATTTAAATTTAAAATTCCCATGTTATTCTTATAGAGAATAAATAAACTGTTGTAGTTTGCTTGTTTATGAATATATTTAAACCAAATTTGGAAAAAGCAGTAAACCTAGGTACTCACTAAAATTAATGTTAATTACATAGGAAATAAATCTGACAATTTTTAGGGAATATTTCAGTAGAAATCCAGCCAGGTAAACGGAAATTCCCTTAGTCTGTAGGTTTGCTGCGGCATGGTTTTTAGAGTTGATTGAGGGTCTGAACCCCTTCTTCATCAATCTGAAACCCCTCTTGGTCAACTCTATAATAATGGTCGGAAACTCATCTTAATATCTAGATTAAGGTTCTAAAACCCTTGTTGATCAACTCCGGTGTGGAACTCACTATGCTAGAGTTGGGCGGAAGAGGCTCACCAATAAATGGTGGAAGACTCAAATGGAAGTTGACGGAAGAGTGGGTTCTTTTACTCTTACCGGATTAATGTGTTTGTTACTTTTGTTGTTTTGAAGCCTATGAGGGTAGGAAATGCTCTCATAAATATGAAGGTGTCTTCATAAACCCACTTATGAGAAATTCACCAAGAATCATTGTTGTCAATGGTATAAGGTTCAAACCAAAAAACTCAAAACATTTCTTGCTTTGTCTTTGGTCTTTATTCATAATTTATTTTTAAAACTTTTATTACAGCTGTCAAGTTTGGGCGGATGTCAAAGAAGCAACGTGAGAAGGTCGAGGATGAGGTTCGATATCACAGGGCGGCACAACAACGTGCGCAGCAGGTTGAGATTCCCGACACTACAGGGATAACCAGCTACGGAGATGGACAGCAAACGCCTTCATCTACAGACAACCTCCACCTCTTCCCCAGCGCTGGGTACGTCAAACAAGCCATACGCAATGTATCTTAAGGTTTTAAACTCAGCCCTAGATGTCCAGATTGAAATTATTTTGGTTCTGGATGTCTGGATTTTGGATGTTTTGGCACTTTTTGCCTGAATATAATATTGGTGAACTTGGCCTAATATTGGTAACTCTCCTGGCTTGTCGGATGAAAATCCATATTTTTACTGCCATCATTCAATGACTGGAGTATATAATCCACCAGGCAATTATGGGAAGCGAACAAATTTTTTTTGTCTAAAACCTTGTTCAAACACTCTTCACAGTCTGTTTAGCATGACTTAAGTTTTTTTAATGTTAGACATGAAATGCTCCTGGTGATTATCTTATAAACAACTGTAGTTAAATGTATGAAATAAGTATTTCAATATATTCTACATTTAAACAAACATATCTGTACTAATAATAGATTGAACACTTTTTTACGACTTCAATCCTAGGCGTCTTTTTCTGATGACTATTGTTTCGGGACAATCAGCCCCATTGTTAAATCTTCTGTCTTATTAATTACTGTTAAAAGCATTGTTATCGGCTAACATGCATCGGTCAACTTTATTACAAAATCATCAAGATTTGAAATGGCGTCAACAATCAAAACAAATAGATTTCAGTACAATAACAAAGCAATCATTGTAACAGTTAAAAGTCATTAAAATCAAAGTATTTCCAATTTAAAAATTCCTCGACAGTGTATAAAAGGCCGGGAAGACAACCACGTTTTCAAATGGGGCTTCATTTTTTTAGCTTCGTAGTAATTCTTGAGCTCCTCTGGCAGTGTGTTATAAAACTTTGCTCCCATGTATGAGGGTTTTCTCTCAAAAAGTTTTTTGCGGTGATAGGGTAGGTTATAGTTCTTAGCAAACCTTGAGTTGTGTCTATGAACATTGCACTTTTTCGGAAGACCTTTCCTCATTGACAGCAGTACGGTTTCGTAAACAAACATCGACACCACTGTCAAGATTTTCTTCTCCGGAAAAACTCTTCTGCAGCTATCTCTCATTTGTAGTCCATGGTTCAAAGAGCTTCCTTTTGTAGAATGAATACCCTTTCAAGATTGCTGACTGAAGAGCCGCCCCAAAGAACCATTCCATATGTCATACTGCTCTCGAATAGCGCATGGAATGCAACCGTCACAGCCTCTGGGGTACCTATTGCTACAATCCTCCTGATAGCAAAGACGGTGCTTTTTAGTCTTTGACAGAGTGAGTCCATATGTTCTCGCCAATTAAGACCATAGTCGATCACTACACCAAGATGTGAGGTAGAATTGTGCTTTTGAATATTGTTTTTGTCGATATGATCTTGCCATCTCTAATTGTTTTTCAAACTCATTAATCTTAGTGTAAAGTTCTTCTTGTTTTTCTATAATTTTATTCATTTGATTAAGATCTGTCTGGTTTTCTTTGTTTGCAGCTAAAAACTTTTCTGGTTGTATATGGGCATCATTTACCTTAAGAGCCTTCTTTTTGTCAATTAAAACAAAACATTTACAAGTTAAATTGTTTCGTGTGAATATAAATGTTTCGTGTGACAGTGTGTGTATGCACTACATGTGGAATGCAACGATCAATGTTTTTAACAGTAATTAACAAGACAGAAGATTTGACAATGGGGCTGATTGCCCCGAAACTATTGTCATCAGTAAAAGATAACTAGGATTGAAGACGTAAAAAGGTATTTAACCTATTATTAGTAGGTACTCTATCAATCCAGGAGGCAAAACATGGATTAAAAAAATACATATATCTGGCCCATGCTAATACTTGTATTTAAAAACAATCAATTAAAAAACAAAATACAATTAATTTGACTGTCCAGATAGTTAAAAACCTTTCCTCAGTTATAATTTTATACCTCATTAGTTAAATCTTGTTTCGTATATTTTACGAATAAAACATCCAGTTTGGAATTTCACAATGAATGGGGATTGTATATCATTCAGGAAAAATGTTCAAAGTGCTGTAACTATTAATCGAGAATCATTGTTCATTTTCTCTTTCTTGCAGGTTCATGCAAGATTCCTTGCTACCTCCGCTTTCAGAGAGGGAAAACTCAAATCGAAAGGATCTCCTGCTGTAAATCTTACCATTCATTTTATCATTTACAATTTTATGCTTTGTTTTGTTGACTTCTTCCTTTTACTTTGCTTTCCTCATGACAGACCCCCCTAAACGTTCCTCAGACCGGTTCAACTACTTCTATAAATTGGATTTCCTCTGAATATTCTGCGATTAACTGAACTCAATAACATTTTTAGGGCCAATTTCATTTTGGGGGTTTCACACGACTCCAGCATTTTATTTTGATTGCAAGGTTTGACTATTAACAAATATTTTGTACACAATGTCTATTAATAGCAAACCTCTGGTGTGTGAGAGGACCAATATAAATATTCTCAGTGTTAAGAAGATCCAAGATAGCGAGTGTAGCACATGTGTGATGTCGCAGGTATGCTGGAGGGGGAGGAGTCTACAGCCCCGGCACGTACGGGATCTACGAGGGACACGGAGGTGGTCAGATACAATATCAAGACATCAGTACCGACCCTTGTGGAGTGGACAGTACGACGTACTACCCTGATACGATGCACACCGTAGATACGTCCAGCATAATGGGCACGACCATCCCCACAGGTAAATCAACTTAATTGACCGTCAACTACTATTTGACAGACATTTGAGATGAAAAGTAACGAGGTACTAAAACTTCTAGAAAGTTGAGATTTACAAGTAAAAGAACGGTGGATAGTCTGTAGCGCCCTTGAAGAAAATTGAACCCTTAGGGATCACACTAGAGCCAAAACGCACTGATAGCCTCTATGTTAGCTCACTGCTATTTAGCTGTCTTCCCGTGAGTGTATTCGTTCAGAGTGGAGCCTGAGAGTTACATTGATAGATGGAATTAGCAACTGCTATCTCGGTTTTTTACATAGCTTTGTATGCAGTCGCTATTATAACTAGGTTAGGCGTGAAGTAAACTAGCAAATTATTTGAGATATCAATTGTGTTTAAGAGCGCTGAGAGCAAGGAAGGTCTTCTAATACATAGTGTGGATAACTGTAAAAACTCCTTCTAAACATGAAATAAATATTAGGTCTTTAATTTAGGAATCTTGTGAGGATATTTCAATTGATCTGTCTTAGTGATAACATTTTCTCTTTGGTACATAACACATTTTTCCCAGTAATATATGGGTCTATAAACAGAATATTATGTAGTATAGTAGATTTTTTTAAACACCAATAAACTTTGTCTCGTAAATTTTATGCTTACAGATTTTTACAGTGAAACCCCAAGTTAGTGTTTTCCTGTTGCAAGTAATTATAGAACTGTAACTTTTCAAATTAACCAGTGGTTTTCAAAGATTTTAATGTTAGAGGTGTTATCCTGAAAACCACAGATGTTTTGATTTTTAATTAGGACCTTAAAAAAGAGGAAAAGCAGTACCTCACAAATGGATCTTTCTATTTGGTTGTAATAATTTAAAATTTATCAGAAGTTGAAGAGAAGACATCAACCTAAAAGTTACTGGGTATACTTGAGTGGGAAAGGGTCAAACCAGACTCAAAGAATACAATAACTCTTACCCAAATTAAATCTTCAATCTGTCAGAAACATTGTAGTCTTCAAATATTTGAGTATATTGTATCACTTATCACTTTAAACAAACATACTATAGAGGAGTCTCCACACAATGTATGACAACTTGTGTCAGGATGAACTATTTACCATTCAGGTAAGCCTGCTGTCCCAACAGCGGTCTTCAAAACATGACCTATGTGCAATCTATGATATAAATTATTTTATACACTGGGAGTTAATTGGTTGCGCTCTTTCAACTTTAAACCAATTTGAAATTTTTTGAGTGATGTTTTGGATAGTTCATTGATGCAAAATTTCACATTGACCTCCTTGAAGGGCAAAATCTCCTCTTCCATATTTTACATTATATTTTTTATTTATTTATCGATGAAAACCCCTAAAAACATTTTGTCCTTAGTTTTGAATAATCCTCACTAATTATAGTTTTGTACTATTCTAAAGTTTATGTTGACGAATGCTAGCAGGAGTTGTATATTTATAAATATACCTGTTTGCATGACAGCTTTTATAGTACCTGAGTGGTTTTGGTTGGTGAAGTGAACCAAAAGATTTATGGGGCCATGGCTCTGATAAATCTATACATGCTGTTATTCTAACATTGTTGGCTGAAATAAAATGTTTTATCTGGTAAATGGGCTGCCTTCCTTTATATTAAAGTGGTTTTAAGTTATATTAGTATGTAAACAATCTAATTACAATTATTGTGTTTGGGGGATAAAGTTTTCCAAGGTTTAATATACTTAATAAGGCTTAATTTAATCTTACTTACCAGTTAAGCTATCGAAATAACTTAAATAAAAATTTAACATTAAATATTAAACGTTTGAGACTTTTATTGATCAACTTTCATTGTATTAAAAAATAGTAATGTGTTTTTTAATTTCAATTGATCTTCCGTGAGTTAGATGTTTCAAAACTAAATTGAGTCTAATAGTCGTTCAATTCGTTGTACAACTTATCGGAATTGTGCAAATACGCTAATGGTTCGTCCAAACAATAAGATCTCAACCAGCTTCAGTTTCCTCCAATCAGCTAGTTCAAATCTGACACCATCCAGCACAGTGTTCTTTATTTTCCTCATTACTATTCTAGCCACTCAATGCAATAAATAATTGCCGGGAGCTATGATTTATCCTCACATTTTTATTGGATACCGATGAAACGATTGTCTCATAAGCCCCTGTCACACAGAGCTGGTTTTTTCACCGCTAGTAACTAGCAGCTAGAACCAGCATAAAACCGTGTGACTGATTCTCCAGCTGCTAGAAACACTCGCATGAGCTGGTATCTCTAGCCGCTGGAGGGTTTAAACAGTTTAATATTACAAGCGCTTGAAGAGTCACTAGCAAGTCATTTGACCATCCAGCTGTTATCTCTAGCGCCATTCCAACTCCGTCTGACAGCTAGTTCTCGCAATAAGAAAAGTGAATTTAATGCATTTGAACTAATCAAGAACAAATTTAAAACTTCATGTTTTTCATGCTTTGCCATAATTTTCTCGTAGTTACGAGTGCTACATCTCACCTATATTAACTAAATGAATGTGTTTTTTTGTGTTGATAATAGATAAAATAACTTTTGTTATCGGCATACCACAACTTATTCGATTTTAATTTGCTAATTTACATGCCCGTAGTAGATATAAATAATAGTGTTTATATATACAAATTATTTTTTTTCCTTGCACTCTTTTATTTTTATGATGGCTGATCATAGACAGAACATAGCTTCTAAAACCAACATACGACATTATTTTTGGTAACTACACACACACGGTCCCAATGGCCCATTTACATCACCAGACTTGTAAGTTGTAGCGCTAGTTCTCCAGGTTCGTCTGACAGGACTTCTAGCGTGCTGGAGAACTAGCTGCTGAAACAAGCTCCGTGTGACAGGGGCTATAAGGATGGGGACTGGACAGTTTATTGGATACTACAATGAAATACTGTCTCATGTATTTAGGAAAGGGAGGAGCAGTAGCGAGGAAAGTAAAAAACAAGGCACTGTTGTCTGAATCGAAGTAGCTCTCTTGAACACTACTGGAGATGGTTGGAGACCTTAATGTATGGACAACCCGCATATTTGCACAATTTGGATAAGCCATACAAAGAATTCAACTAAACTCAATTCATTTTTGAAACATTTAACTCGCCAAAATGCTCACTCATACAGTCAATAAGTGTTTGTAGATATGACAGTTTTAAGTTTAAACAGCCAATTTAGTTGGGTTGGCAGCCTGTTAGCTACTAGTTGCTTACTAATCGTTGGGTGCACTCTATCTAAGGTGGTGGTAAATGTGTGACGACGGGGCCGGGGCACATGGCACCGCGGGGGGCTGTAGGGACAGTCAAACTGGAAGCAGAGTCGGGACAAGGTGAACCCGCTTCCCCGCTCGTCACCTTTGTAGATAGCACCACATCTCGTCAGATGGAAGAATCGTCTTTACCTCGTAAGATTTGCATTGTTTATTCATGGAAATTGAGTGTTTTTCCTCTGTTAGACAAAATACAAACTCCTTAAAGTAGAGTCTCAATTATTTGTTATCCGACCGCAGCAAGGTCGTGTTTGAAATCTAATAAATGTTCACCATTGTCACCCCTATTTGAGGCTTTTAGTTTGTTTTAAATGGGATCTTTGACTACTGATACAAGTAGACAATCCATCCCCATGTTAAACTTGTTGCCTATCATAAAGTACTGTCAAGTGTAGGTGCCAAAAACCAGACAAATATGTTTGAGTATCAACAATTAACTGCTACAAACTGGTTGTTTTGGTATACCCACTGCAGTGTACAGTAATACCACACAAAATAACACACGACTTCTTGATCAGCACCTGGAGGATCAAATAAAATGGAAGGTTAGATAACCAAAGATTAGATAATTGAGACTCTACTGTTCCTTTATTTAGCTGACTAAGGAACTTTGAAATATTATACTTGATTAGAAACAGTTCTTTATCATTTCTGTGGGAAGTAAAAATTGCATCAATATGCATTCAATGCCCTGATAAAAATAAATCTTACTTCTGTTGAAGAATTATTGTAGACAAGTATGAGTTTTGCCTCAAGCTAATTATACGAGGCATTGATTCAACTCTATAATTCCTACTATAGGAATAGGAAAACTGGTGGATTACAAGAGTGACAATTATTGTACTTCAAAATTATTACTTTTTTCAAATTAAAAAACTTTGAATGGTGTTATTTCCCTACACTTATACCTACCAAGATACATTTTTAAAATATGATATATGGTTTCTTGATTTTATTGGTTCAATATTATTGCATGTTGAAACTATAAACTTCTTCTGCATGGCTCCGCAATGCTTTTTTATGTCTAATCGAGTTTATATACTTTTAGAATTCATTAAGTGCTTATCACTGTCCGATATGAACATATGCTTTTAAATCTCGCTTAATAAATTTACAGAAGATATTTTGAAACAATAAACCTAATAGGCCTATTCATTTTCAGTTTAGTAATGCGTATTATAAAGGTCCCCCCGTATTAGTAATGCCCCTAAACTATGGTCAAGATAACATCATTATTCAATATTTTTATAATATTTTCAGGGAAGAATAGTTACATATAGTACATACTATAGTACTATTAATAGTAGTACATATAGTTTTCAGGGAAGGGTTGAAGTGAGCTTTTCAAGCAATTTTATTTACTCTGCTTAATGAAAATGCATGTGCTGACTTCTCTGATTTTTTGCTGTCAGGTTGACTCTGCACTGCCATACAAAAAAAAAACCTACGGTCCACGAACTGAAATTTTTTTTTGTTATATGGCAATTTCTATTCTATTTCTTTTTAATGCATTTAGAGATAGTTAAGTCTTGCTCTGTTTTGAAATATGTGCCTTCTAAAAGCCGCCTTAGAACAAGTAACTACCCATATATTTTTTGTAGTCTACTTTAAAAAAAGAAGAAAAGTATTGTAACATTTGTTTGTTACTTTTGAATCAATTGGACATTGCTAACAAGTTTTGTAAATGATAGTAATAAAAATATTTTAATTTTAATATATCATTTGAATTTGACTTTTTTCAGATCCTGCACAGATTACAGAGTTACTAAGCAAGACTATAGCAGATGCTCACGCCAGAACATGTCTCTACTCAATAGAACACATTCACACTATGTTCCGTAAGCCTCAAGACCTCTCCAAAGTAATGTACTACAAAGATATGGTAAGAATCTCTTTTTCACTGTCTTCTACTAGAAAACTGTACATTTACACTTAATAATAACATACATTACTACATTTACACAACTAAATCTTTACCCGATAGGAAGTTATCAAGATTTTTTGACAGAGAAGTAAGGTACAGATAAAAAATTCAATGGTAAACTTAAGTGGTGTCTAGCACTAGTGCTGGTGTCTAGGGCCGAAACCAACACCGCCCCCCCCCCCCCCCCACATCCCTCATGTACTACAGCGCTCACGGTGAAGGAAGACCTTGTGCTCTGTGCGATAGGAATTTCCACTCAGTGCTCACTGCTCAGGCTCACGTCACCAGTGTATATCCAGCACACATACCAGAGCTGAAAGCGCTCCGTCGTCAATAAACAAGTTCCCTCTGTACTCGACTTCTCTGTGATGTATTTTCGGTGTTGCGGGAGAATTTCCATAAGAGTTATTGAGTATTTCACCATTATGGCGGTTAACGATGATAATGTCCTTGCGTGTTCAATATTTCGATGCTATGGCGGGTGACGATACTGATTTCCCTGTGATCGCAGGAGAAACAGCAAAGGTGTTGTGATCGCCGATTAAAGTCAACCTTTCTTTACCACAGAACAGTGGAATAAAGACTAAAAATTTATTTTGTTTCTCATTATTGCAATTTTCAAACAATTTTGCAAACAAATTAAAAGTATGAACCCTTGTTGCACTAGAAGAAAAACATCATACCAAAAATCAAGAAGAAAATAAAAATCCTACCTGTTCCGTGTCAAAATAAATATACAATCCCGCCCATCCCTACCGAACACCTTAAAATATTTTGGAAAATTACTTCTTTATTTACTTTAAAATTAATGAAAATGTTTGTTTTTTTACAGTCACATGAACAACTGTGGTTGGAGTGTGCACAAAAACTGACGACAGTCATACAGCAAATCATTGAGTTTGCTAAGATGGTTCCTGGTTTCATGAAACTAACACAAGACGATCAAATCGTTCTTTTGAAAGCAGGTATGGCACTTGTTACTTAACATCTTTTGGATTTTCTCCATTCTTAAATGCATGAAATTACTATTGTCGTTTAGTTTTCAGTATCAGTTACCAACATTGAATCTAAAACATCTTCAGCCAATGTTTTTGTTGCCTATTTAAAATCGAATAAATAAATAAGCCAATATTTATTGCAGAATAATTTTTTCAGGTTCAGAAAAAAAAACAATGTAGCTTTATATTTGGTTTCACATTTTTTCAGTAGTTGGATAGAAATTGTTCCACTTTAAACTGTTACCAACCATATTCTAATATCAGCTACATAATAATACCGTATGGAAATATACTTATTATGCTTTAGGTATTTGATTTTGAAAATGGTAGTTTCGTTACCAATGAGATTTTGTGTGAATTATTAATTTTTACATGTTACTAAATGTTTGATCTAGTTAAGACTCTTCAATTTATTTAAATTTATACGGTAACTCTATATATTTAACGATTTAATTGGAAACACTTGTGATGCCTCTAAAGATGAAGACAGTTTTATATTGACGGTAAAACTAAAACTATTGGTTTTAGCCATCTCCCAAGACAAAGTGTTAGGAGTGTAGGAAATAATTATGAATGAAGTTTTAAACATGTATTTACATCAAACAAAAATACTACATTAATGTGAAAGTTCTGAAAAAAGAAAATAATAATATCATAAATATTGGCTTGTAAAACAAGAACGGATTTATGTCCAATAAATGCACTCTGCGTAACAACTTGTACATTTATGTGAAATTATATAAGATATTTGTCTCCCCAAAGCCATTGATACACCAAGGTGAAATTGGTATTGTATAGGTTAGCATTAAATTACCCTTTGACCTCAAAATCTAAGGTTGCTGGATGTACTGTACTATAAAATTCAACAGATGTGGTTATGGTGGTATTTTAAGTATGAAGTGTATAAAACAATAACCTGTTTGGATTTACAGGGAGCTTTGAATTAGCGATTCTCAGAATGAGTCGTTACTACGAACTTAGCCAAAACTGTGTGCTGTACACGGACACGCTGCTGCCACAAGAGGCGTTCTACACCAACGATCCCAACGAGCAGAAACTTGTGGCTCTGGCGTTTGAAGTTGCGAGGGGAGTGGCCGAGCTGAAGCTGACTGAGACAGAACTTGCCTTGTATTCTGCGTGTGTTCTGCTCTCACCAGGTTAGTAAATCAGTTTTGACGTAATTGCTCGGCCTCTTGATTTCATCAGTTGCTTTTTTAGAGCTGTCTGCATCCCGATATCAAATTTCTAAATTATATTTTAGATTTATTGTTTGTGCTGTTCAGTGATTGATTGAGTTGGGATGAACCTTTTTCCTGAGGGTATCAGCCACAGTTGTCTTTTAATTTTTTAACACTTATTTTTTGCCTCATACCCCGTCAAACTTTAGTCAATTAATGAACTGCAGCATCATTTCTATGAGCTCTTCCTGAGACATCCGCTCCTTTGAGAGGGAAGTGTTGATTTTGTTTCCCCAAAGATATTGGGCCTTGCCTCGCCATACTTAACCTCAAAATCTCTCTTTCGGTCGGACTGCTTTAGATGAACCTCAACTATAAACCATTCTCTTATGACTTTGAGGTTTAAAAATTCAACCCTTACACCTTGCCATGGTTTCAAGAGTGCTTTCCTTAACCTCATTCAGATCCATGTTGTTATAAAATAAATTATCTGCAGTCTCTTCTAATTTCAAACCTTCTTGGTTGCTCCCCAAGGTACAGAGGAAACACGCCTATGAAACTGTGCACTTTAGGCTCTGGTATGTTTTACTGGAAATATACTTGTGGCAAGCAAGGAAGAACTTAAATGGGGAGTACAGTGCGGAAATTCCTATTGGACAGGGCACAGGGCCTTCCTCAACCAAGAGCATTGTAGTAATGTACATGAGAACGAGGGGGTGGTGGTAGACCCTGCACACTAGACTAGTGCTAGACACCAGACTAGTGCTAGACACCACTTAAGTGTACCATTTAATATATCCTCTATACCTTACTTCTCTGTGCTAGGTGCTTCTTCAGGTAACCATGACCTATGATCAATCTTAAATTTCCTCTATCAGGAAACTGGCTGACACAGAGAGAAGAGAGTGAGTTTGCATGCTTACCCTGTGATACTTAAGTCTTTCCTTTCTCCTCTGCTGCTCCTCCTGGAGCCAATCACATGACTGAGGGACGAAACTGAGGCCACCTTTTTAAACTTTTCAGCCATTTTCTTTTCCAACAGAATGTCACCATGTTATACCTGCCCAGCGCAGACACCATTGTAAGAAGTCCAGCTTAAAAACCCTATTTTTTTAGGGATATAAAAAGTAAGAGAGCTTAACCAGTAATGTTTTTGCAGATCGGCCGGGTCTAAAAGGCCTGGGTGAAATAGCAAGACTGGGTCAGGCCTGTTTACGAGCTTTACGGATGGAACTTGAGCGCAACCATACGATGCCCATCAAAGGGGACGTTACTGTGTGTGATTCTCTTCTCAACAAAATACCTACGCTTAGGTAAGGAAATCTAACTCTTGTGCATGTTTTGTAGCTGTTAAAATTTCACCGATACTTGTTAGGTCAGTTAATTTAACAAATCATTAAAAATAATTTAAATTTATACAAGGATAAGACTTTAACAGTTATTAGTACAGTAAAGCTCCTTTCAACAGCATACAAGTTTCACTGAAACCCGGGTTTATCAAAACCATAATAAAATTTAGCTTGGCAACGGAAAGTGTCCGCCGTGGCCGATAGTTGGCCTAGCTTAGCTAACGGAATTTAATAAAGTTTTGAAGACCCAAAACTGATATAAATATTAAGTCCAGAAAACCATTAGTGATTATTTTAAGGAATAGATTTTGGGTACATGGTTGTAGATTTCCAAATGACAGTAATTTAAAAATAATGTAAACACAAGTGTAGTATATCTTGAACTGAAATAGACTTTAAATTCCAACCATTGATTAACAAAAAAGACAGATGATCAAAATGGCCTTGCCACCTTTACTTCGGTTAGCGAGGGTTCCAAGAAGATAAATTGTGTATAGGTACAATGCAGAACTATTGATGGAAGGCCAAAATATTTTCCAAAACATCTAATTTTAGCTTTACTTGATGATGCTGAAAAAACTGTTCTGCTGTGTTTTTAGATATACTGATAAAGAAAAATAGATGGTCAACTTATAGAAAGTTCATAAGAAAACTGAGATTAAGTTACTGAAACTTCTATACAGTATTTATAAATAAAATAACAATCTCAATAGATTTGAGATCTATGTAGCTATGTTTAAAAGCTTATTTTTTTTTAAATTGTAACTCAACTTTAAGTATCTTCCCAAGTTTGTCCTATCAAATAAATAACTTTGTACATCACACCATCATAATAATCTCATTTTCCCACAGAGAACTCAGTATGTTACATATGGAAGCGCTTGCAAAATTCAAAAGATCGACGCCTCATCTGGAATTCCCAGCACTGCACAAAGAACTCTTCTCGGTGGATAGCTGAGCAACGTAAGTAAACCAACCAATATTGTTAGTTTTGTTCTAGGAATAGCTCTATGTCAGGATTTTGAATTGTAGATCAAAGGAGGATATCAGCTATTTTACCTTAGAAGAAATACAGGTAGGCCATTGAATACATTGAAGACACATAAAACACACAATATTTCGTCCAAGCAGCACTTGACAATGTCTTTTTCTACACCCTCTGGGGACAAAATATTGTGTATGAGATCAAGATCGTGTTCCTTACTCCTTCTAGCCGCTTCCAACCCACCCCAATGGGGCAGTTAATCTGGTCATAGTATTGAAAAACTTTGTGATTGATGCTCATTGCAAGTAAGAATCGTGTTTTGTGGTAAGGTTTCTTTAGGAAGGAGGTAAATTTCTTGTGATTACTGTTGCCAGTTGACAGACGTGTGTGCAGAAAAGTGGTTCAACGTAGAAAATTTGCTTTAATGGCTTAGGGAGTGCGTAGAAACCTGTACATATTTGCACCATGGGCAGTGTGATGGCAGTGTGTTCATCAGTCTCCACTGATTGAATTTGAGGAATCTTTGCTAGCAGTTTGGCATGTTTCAGACTTCCATGGCTGACCATAGTCCTTGTAGTCTTATAGAGACGTCCTCTTCCAGTAAGATATTCTTTCTCATTTAGTCCCACCAGTATCTGCATGCAAACTTCCTTGAATGGTTAATGAGACTGATGAACAACACCATAGAAAACATTGTGCAAACGTTTAAGACCACCACTGTACAGTTGGATTTTTTTAGCTAGAAGCGTTTAAGGTGTGGTGGAATATCTTTGAAGATGAACCTATTTGGCTGTAGTACGATCATGTGTTCATACGTGTCAAATTTTGAAGTTAAATCAAAACAAACAAACTGGCATATTCTTGGAATTGACAATAGTTTAATATACTTTAAACTTACTCTAGCCTACTTTTATAAAAGTACTTAGCTATGTAGAGAATATTTACTGTGAAATAGAGACCTGATTCCTAATTCCAAATCAACTAGTAAGTTGTTATTTAAATATTTTCTCCAAATTATAAGTAATGGTTGCTTTGAAAATAATTAATTATATGTTATATGAGCAAATATTGAAATATTGAATCTTCTTGCAAAATTAATGTCGATCATTATATTAATAGAATAATGTAGGTGTTGTGATTGGGACGTTTTGTTTGGAAATCTCTTAACACATAAATATAGACCCGCCTTTTGGGTTTCAAGTTAGGTACCAGAATTAAAATACTCTCGAGATGACAAGATAAACCTCTTTAGAGTAACGTTTTGACCAATTTTAATTATAATTAACAGCTAATTGTATTGCTGATAATTCATTAATGCAATCAGATAAGTTCACCGTACAAACATGATAACGTTATACGATAGGCCAAGGAAGCAAGATTCGAGTATGATTTATAAAATGCAGTAGCCTAAATACTGAATGTTTTAAAATAAATCAAACAATGAAATATACTAAATTAATTCGTTTGATCTTAAATGAGCATTCATTCGTAAGTAATACAACATGGCCTAATACCCTAAATGCCTAATTGACAACATGCCAGTGTTTGTTTGTTTGTTTTGATTTAACCTCAAAATTCGACACGTATGAACACATGATCACACTTCAGCCAAATAGGTTCACCTTCAAAGATATTCCACCACACCTAAACCATGTCTAGCTAAAAAAAATCCAACTGTACTCCCTCCACCCCTTATGCACATTTTCTTTGTCCAAACACTTTACACCATTCAGTCCATTCATGTCCATCAACTGGTAATAACAGAACATTATACTTGTGGGAGTATAATTATCTTTCACAAAATTCTTTAAGACTATTTTTTTTTTACTATTTTGAACACTAATCGTGTCATAGCAGTTAGAACCAACTAGAGTAATAGTGGATCAAGTAAGGAACAGGACCTTGGTCTCAGATTTTAAATAGCTCACTTAGCCACAAAGGTAGCTTGATGGAGACCTTAATAGGAACATCTCTCATACTTTGCTGAAAAAATGGTTAGAATAGAGATGTTACAGTTTAAGTGTTTGTGTCTTTGCAGGTGTATCATCGATAGTCAGATGATGAGCAGCATGCTTAGCAGTCATTCCCAACTGATCCTGCAAGCACTGGACTGTGTTTATCAACAGCATTAGATGTGTGTTAATAGACTGGACGACAGAAAATGTTATTCAATGACTTAAAAAGCAGTGCAACGAGTGTTTTTAAACACCATGACAACGCTAAAATTAAGTTTTTTATATTAGCTATAATTTAATCGTTATTCTTATTGTAGTAATATTTGAATGGATGTCGGGAATGGGTTCTTACTAACACATCTTGTTTTAAAAACAAGAGAAACTAGGAATCACAAACCCTTTAAGGTTATGTGATAGCTAAACTAGACATTTTGTAAAATATTAGTATATAGTTCTGTTATAACTAGGGACAGAGCTGAGCTAATTTTCCTTCCAGTATAGTTTATTGAATGTTGTTATTTTATGATTTTTGCACCGACAAGGCGAGGAGGCAGTTTGGTGATTTCCGGTGAATCAAAACTCGCGGGAACGTTCTTCCGAGTGTTCGGTCGCTGGGTGTCTTGTTTTATAATTTTGTAAATATTACCTTATTTGAAAAGAAAGTTTAATGATTGTTACGATATATTTACCTATCGAACTTTGTTTGTTGAGATATACTATTGTTGATATTTTGGTATTTAACGGAAACCGAACAAAAGTGTTCTCGCAGTTGTTGTTGGATACGCGTGTGCGCGTATGATAGGTGGGTATATTTGGAAATATCTGTGATGTTGTTACATTTGTTAAACTGGTTCGAAGTATTACCTCAGCTCATTAGTGTCTCCCACTACAAACAGTTCAGATCATCTAGAATAGTTTGATATCGACACGGATTTTCAAAATAATTATTCATTCGATTTTTTAAATGATACTTTTTAAACTCGTTGTGTTTTAATAATTAATGTCGGGTGAGTAATCGGAGGGGTTTCGCCTCTAAGGCACTTACATTACTTTTTATCTACATCGGCCCATTGTTTTAACTTTAAATATTTTGGTCCTCAGGTCTACTTTTTGAGTTGGTACATTTATATTTTGAGTCATTGAGACAAAAATTCTGTTGAAATTTGTTATCCTTTTAAGTTTTCTAATTTTCATCGAACATAAAAAATATATCTAATGTAAACTAGTTAGTAAATTACTTAAGAGATAATTTTTTAATGGGACGGGTTAGTTGTGTGTGAATCCGTCTGTATAAGTGCTTGGCAGAAATTCTTTTGATAATAGTGCCGTATGATGTGATAAATACTAAACATAAGAGAACTTTTTTATTTTTTTATGTATATATATCCTTACAAAACAGAGGGACAGTTGGCGTTTCACGAGACCTTGCCTGACTGCCATTGCTTAGTAGTAAATACCAGTGGTATTCTGGTATGAGTGGGAGCTTGACTTATACTGTAATGATTGATAAATGTTCACTTTCACTGTTTAACCTGACCACTGACTGAATACGAGACTTTTAAGATGAAATATTATTACAAAAATATATTACCTCGAGGTAATGAATAAGTTGCATTTCCTCACATAAATATAAAATTTAGTTAGCAAACCTTTATTAAATTAGTTTACTTGATTTTAAAATAATTAAAAATATTGTCGGTTAACTTTTAGTTTAATAGTATCAAAATATTCTATGATAGTGCGAATAAAGTAATAAAAATGAATTAAAACAGTAAAACAATTCATTGGTTATGAAAATTAAGCTTTATAGTATGTATAAGCTGTATTATATCAGAAATCATAAGACTGTATATAAAATGCCTTATATAACACTTTTTAAATATAGAGATATCTTTTGGATATATAACCCTAATTCAACACCGACACAGTTATTTAAAGTTGGACTTTGCTTTTTTTATTAAAAATAAATTCAGTTAATAGTACTATATATGAATACTTTTTCAATCTTTTACTAACTAGAGTTTGCCTCTGGAATGGAAGAGTGATAAATTAAACTTTAATAGTTAATTCCAGTTCAAATTGTGCATGTTATCATGGAGGGGACAATTTATGTGAGGAAATAAATGCTTAAGATGCAATTAAAATCCATTTGTTTCAATTTTAAAACATTCTTTCAACATTGTCTTATTTTCATTTTAACCAGCTTAAACAGAAATCAACTTTAGTTGTTATATTGCAATATGATCTATATGTAAATTATTTAAAATCAGTGTTGTTTTTTAATTTTTATGAACTATTTGTTTATTGCGTAAAGGGAAAATATTGTATCGCAAATGCCTGACCGTTGAAATGCTTTGGGAAATTTACTGGTGATTCAATTGTTACAACAAAAGTTTGATAGATAGAAATAGTGTGTTAGATAGGATTAAGTGACCTCTTGGTGTATTGACGTATTGTGATGTGAATAAGACAACAGGTGCCTCTGAAATTGTTGGTTTCAGCTTTTTAAAGCTGTATACTACTATACAAGTATTGTTTTTACACTGTGTTATAAATTTATTAATAATCACATTGTGCAATGCATCTATTTAAAATTTTTACTGTCAATGTAACAAAATTGTACTCAATGCTATATGCTGTTTCATGTAATTCCTTCTCAATTGTACTCCAACACGAGTTGTGTAAGTAGACTTATTTATACACATCCGCTTCTAAAGATATCGAACAAACTGCGGTTCTTGTATGTAGTAAAATAAATATTATAGAGTAATGTTTTTTGTTTATATTTACACTACGCTTTTTGTACTTACATTTCACTGCCATGTGAGTATTTTTATTGACAGAAAGAGTTTCAGATGAGTATAGAGTGCTCCGACTGTCCGTTACTCATTATTTGTATCTCATGGGTAATACAGTATATTTTTGTGCGTTGTTTGCGATGTGGAACTGAATGAAAATTTTTGTTTTGGAAGGATGTAGAGTTAAGCGTTGAGTTTGATATTGGAGAGTGATATAACGTAACCATGTGATGCGACAATAGCCTGGGGTCAAGCTCCTAGCAAGTGTCTTATGTGCAGGCAATGTCTTCTGAAACTATCCTACTCTATCGTATTGTTAACCGATCTTGAATGTTAGATCAGTGATCACGCTCTGTACTGGTAGTGCTATAAATACGAGCTGATAATTCACCCACCACCGTGTCGGATTTATTATTTTTATATGAGCTGGAATCATATGTTAAAATTTATTGTACATTGAGAAAATGTTTCTGGATAATGTTTTTTGAAGTTTGTAACGAACGATTGTCATAGTTTATCGAAGAAACTGGGTTTAGCTTTATATCTACTATAATTTTATATCAGATTAATATCTGGCTCAGTTCTTAAATGTATGTTCTGTAAATATTTTTGTATATATTTTGCATAAACAAAATTGGTTTTTGTCCCAGGTTCAAATCGATTGTTAACAGAAGAATGTGTTATATAAGTTCAATAAATATGTTTATTGGGTCCATTCAGAAGTACAATTATGTTATTTCACCCTATTTGCGTGTTTATTCCTTTCCCCAATGAGATCCATGAGTTGTTTAATTTTGGAAAAGGTGGAATGTATTGTTTATTTTTTAGATCTCCGTGGATACAATTTACAAACTTGTTTTGATTCTCAGTTTATCCTGCTATGGTACGGTAACATTAGGATCGAACTCAACATTTGTACAGTTGCTATTGTTACAACATTTTGTAGCTATGCTTTGAAGACCAAGGGCACAATATTAGGCTATCACCTCCCTTTCCATAGAACAAAAGAAATTGGAATATAATTTTACAAAAATGTATCCAAACTTTAGGCTACATGCTTAATTTTATACATAAAATATGACTTTATTTATAAGACAACTTTTACCGATGAAAAGACCAATTGCCAATTACATAATTGATTCAACTCAATTTCAATCCAGCATTATTTCAACCTGAACTGAGTGTTCTTTAATTAGCTTAAAAGTAATGTATCAGAACCTGAAGTTGATTCTCGGTACTGTCGCATCCGAACCTGGATGCGAAGAAGGATCAGGTGCTCGAAATGATAAACACATTTTTACTTTAAGAAAAACCGCATTGGTGTGCGGGAGCCGGGGAGGTAGGACGATGACAGAAGGTATAGAGAGTGTCGTGTGATCGTGGTAGCAGTGGGAACGGAAGGTGGTGTGATGGAACAACCAATGGGGTTAGTTTATTCGATCAGGCCATATGACGTCACACCGTACGATATCTAACAGTACATGGATCGAGCTAGCAAATTTAATACCTGTAACTATCTGAATTTCAAATATAGAAATATACAATTCATTTGATATTTAAATAAATACACTACAGGTACCACCGGTTCTAAGGAGAAGTACTGGTAGAGAGAACTGATATAAAAACGTTGGTACCGATATTCTAGTATCATTAGGGCATGGGAACATCAGGACTACGGTCTGACGATTACAGCTATGTGCTGCGTCATTTGGATACGACTGAGAACGGAGACCAAGTGGGTGGAAGAAGTGTTAGGCAGGAGCCTCAAAGCGCTTTAGCCTAAATTACTGTGCGCCCCAGTCAGTTGATAATATGTTTAGATACCTTCAATGTTCAGGCACCTGATATGTCCAGGCACCTGATGAAAGCCTGAACTATCCCGATCAGTTTTCCCTGAGGAAGGTGACTCTCTCTTACCAGATTGCCGAGAGTTGTTCTTCTTACCCAGAGAGCTCCTCACCGCAAAAAAGCAGGTGACCAGCATTCTCCTCTGACCTACCATTTTCTGCATAGTGGGGCACCATCATACAAACCACAGAGAAGTAAGGAACAAAGAATACACTTCATAGTACACTTATTGTCGGGGAAAAAAGTTTAGACACTTGAGTTTGGAGCTCTACACAGAAATGTAACCAAACTAACTTAGAAAAACACGTAGTATATATACATTTTCGTTGTTCTATTCTACGTATTCCTGTGAAAACAAAATTTTTAGCTTGTTTTTTATGACAGCCGGAAAGTAAAAACTCTCTGTTTTTAGAGTATCAAAAACTATCTTATGACTTTGAAAATTTGCACAATGTAAACTAAACGTCAGAACTTTATCAAACTTTAATACAATATAGACACATATATAATGAATTAATTTGTGTAATTTCAGAATTTTTACTCTACCCAAAAAGTTTTTGATGTAACTTTTGTAAATTAACTTTTTCTCAAAAGCGGCAAATGCTAGAAAAAAATTGAAAAGCTTGTTTTAAAGGTGATTGGTTTTGTATTTGAAATATTGATACTGCTCAACCAACTTGTGGCCGCGCATAATAAGGCTCTTAGGCATCCTGTTTTGAAGGTGCGTTAATGTGAGCTTACTTACTCTTAAAAAAATGTGCTTTAGCCTATCTCCTAAAATGTTCTTCAGTGGCCCTTGACTTGAAATAGGTGCAGCCATACGTATTACATTAATTTATTACATCTACAGAAATACAGGAAAGCAAATTTGACCTTATGATATATTGAAAATGAAACCTATTTGTTCATTTGTATGTATCACTCTGTATACTATACTTGGATGAGGGTACTTGATACTTGTAACTGATATGAAAAACTGACTGCATTTTAAACAACAAATAGCTTATTAACAGGGCTTATCGAATTAAACTCAAATAAATTATACATAGTTTAATTTATAGTTAATCTAAATCACATTTCATACATTCAAATCCTTAAAGTTAGATAGAAGAGCCAAGTATTATTCTGACTATCCTGTGAAATAAGACATGTTATGAATTAAAGAATAAACTGCCTCAAAGTACTTTTTATATATCCAATCACAATAAACCTCTAAATGCAGGTTCACACCACTACTTTTTAGTTTCTTCTGGAATAATTACGACTGTTACGACCGCCCAAAAGGATCTTAATTCCCTTACAAATCCCACTTTTCACGACCGAGTGAAGAGTTTGACAATTCCTTACTTCTCGAGTATGTTTAACAAGGCTTTAGCAATTTTTAAATGTAAACATAACGAAACAGTGAGTGCCCCTCGAGAACAGTTGTGATTTTACTCATATAGAAAAGTTAGATCAACCAATCATTTAGAGAGCAAGTCGTCACTATAGCGTTGGCAAGATTCACTGTAGGCTTTCTGCCGCTTTCTACCGTCCACTGAGCATTTCCTCAGCATTTACACGGTGGTGACATGCTCTCTGATTGGCAATCTCCGCACGCACATTGATAGGCCTCAAACAGAACGATCCTTGGCTAATCGAGGTGTTCGATTAGGGAGTGTTCTAGTGCCTCTTTTTTACCTGTGTCCACTCATATTGTTATTTAAGCCATTTTTCTACGATTAAAAGTGTTTTTTGAAGATTTGAGGATAAGGCTTTGCATTACGTACTGAATTTAATAAAATAAAGTAAAGAGTTCTGCCTTGAGATTGTTAGTGGTAATTTTTGTACAGGTTTTATTATTATAAAACGTTTTTGCCGTATCTGATTGCGTAATGTATATGAACTGAGCAATAGCATTTTTTTCATCTACTGCTAGTTCTGAATACTACTTTGATATGAAACTTAATTGCTTCTTCATATATATATCACTGCCATTAATTCTAAGTATGTTAACACTTATCTAACATAGAAAAGCTACTCTAAAAGAACAATAGTTCACATTCTATGAGCACTTTGCAACAATCTAATAATTTGTCTTCATTATGTCTAATCTAATATCAGTATATAACTTGTCTCTTAGTTGAGATCTGGATAACTACAATGCATTGCCTCCATCTGGATTGTAAGCTAACTCTTGAGTGAAGACTTCTTCAGTCTTCCTAGTCAGCCTTTTTAGCATCACTTTGTATTCTTGGCGATGAATTCCTCTTGAAGAAAATTGACTTTATGTTGATAAATGGCATTTCAAACGTGAGTGTCAGAAGAGCTGATGATATTAAGATAACCAAGACCTCTTTCAAATTAACCTGAAACAACGATACAAGTAAATTACTATGATGCAGAATTTTGTTTTCCATATATTTTTCTTATTAACAAGCAAACCAGGGGCCTGTTTCATAAACGTTACAGGTTAATTTTTTATAAAGAGTTTTCCCTGTAAAATAATTTACACACGATTCTCCTGTATTACAAGTAAATTTACGGAAAGTAAATAAAAGAAACGTCTTATAACACTTAAAACATTTACACTTATACTGTTACTCACAAGACGGTAAATATACAAAATAGATAGTAAGTGGTGATCGATTTCGATTGGACACTCCAATCATCATCAGACCCAATTGGCAAATGACGTCAATTAATGTCATGCGCCTATTGGGTCTGATGATGAATGGAGTGTCCAATCAAAATCGATCACCACTTACCATCTTTTTTGTATATTTACCGTCTTGTGAGTAACAGTATAAGTTTAAATATATGTTTAAAGTGTTATAAGACGTTTCTTTTATTTACTTTCCTTAAATTTAATAACACGTACAATGCTGATCAAGAAGTCATTTACAAGTAAATAATACAGGACATGTTCAGTGTAGTGTCTCATAAAGAGCAACTCCTGTAATACAGGAAGAGGACCTGTAAATTGGTGAATATTTTAGCATTCTCTAAACCACCATAAAAGTTTTACAATTAGCAAGTGATACATTGAAAAGTGAAATTACGTAGTAAGATAACACACAATGGATAAATCTAGTAGTTCTAGTGAAGAGAACAATATTGTTATGATTCGGAGGCCAAGGAATTTTAAGGAAATAATTATATTAAATCATTAAAAAATTACATAGCCTACAACATAAATTAATTTTGGACCGATTTTTATGTACCCCGATTTGGAATTATTATTAAAAGAGGGATAAATGTGATTTAGTTCACGACCAGCAAGATTGGGTCATGGAAACGGGGTTACAAGTTAAAGTTTTAAACTTTTTTTAAAAATTTGGGGTTTTCAAAGTTTTACCTAAAATACATGGAAATTGCCAATTTTTATGGAAGCTATAGTGTAAAGCTTAAAACGACAAACAGCTTTGTATAGTAAACATTGTTTTACAATTACTGAAAAACGGCATATTAAAAATTCCAGTGCTTGGTCATGCTATATTTTGATACAATTTTTATTTCATCCTATACTATTAATATATAAAAACACTTTTCTCCTTTCATGCAGCAGCAAACCCAAGTCCTCGTTGTACTCTAATGTTACTTTAATAGAAATTAAATATGACTTGTTTATAGAAATATTTCAGTAAAAGTCCAATCACACTATTCGAAATTCCCACAATCTATTATACTGTTATACTGTTTGCTGTACCTGTAAATTTTAGACATCTACCCGTAACTGATTTTTATAACAACTCACACACAATCAAAGGCAGTAATATAAAAATTCCTATGTCAACCATACATAGTACAAAGCTATATTAAAAAATACCAGTAACAGCTGTGAGCATGGGCGTACCCAGAGAGGGGCAGCGGGGGCAGCTGCCCCCCCTAGAAGCCAGGATAAGATACAACAAATTTAGATCCAAGAAAAATGTTATTAGTATGAGAAAATATGAGTAAGATAGTTTACAGATTTTTATGACTTTTTTGACACATTTTTATAAATTTTCATTAGTTTCTGAGTTATTCTTCAATAAAATAAAAATTCCAACAGTAGTAACAAACGGACCAATTTCTTGCAATCTATAAACTAACAGCTTTGTGTAGTATAATGAATTAACATAAACCTATTTTTGTGACATTATTTTGTTTTAATTTGCCTTCAACAATAATTTAGGCTTAATGAACAAAATTGCTCTTACGGCATAAGTCATCAGGCATTCTTCAAAATAGTTTACCATACATTTCGGGTGCTGTAAGTTAAATGGATGTGAAAAGTTGGATGGACACAAAAAATACAGTTGAATGTGTATTGTAAAGCTAAGCAATCTGACCTGACCCCATTGATGAACGCTGATAAACGCTGGAAAAACCTATTGTTATATTAATGTCTCAAAATAGCGTGAAAAACGCTAATATCAGCATATTGTTTTTATCATTTTCCCCAGAGTGAAGGGTATTCCATACCCCCAGGCCCCCAGCGACCCCTGTTTCAAGTTTCAAGTACACTCTTGCCCCCCCCCCTAGTTTTTATCCTGGGTACGCCCTTGGCTGTGAGTTAGAATACAGGAACAAAAAATACAGGTAAATATTACAGGTGATTTTACAAGACCAAAAGTATTTTTATCAAACATAATTTTACAGGATTGTAAATTTAAATTTAGAAGTCCTGTATTACATGGGTTTTATGAAACAGGCCCCAGATATCACTAGTCCCCTATTTCTATCAAAAAAGTAATATCTTTTGTTGAGTCTCAGTCTAATGACGTCGTTAGACTATTTTACTTAAGTTATGGTTATTGGCTTGGCTAATATGATCGGTTATTTTATTTCAATTGTAACAGTAAGATTTGTACTTACCTGGGGGGCATTAACTAAACCTTAACAAATCTTTTACAAAATAAACCCTGGTTAAAACTTGAGGATGATTAGATGATCAGAAGTAAAATAATAAAGGGTCACAGAAAGACAACTATAAAAAAATGAATCACACTACTTGTACTGTCTCACAGAAATCACTTAAACATAGGCCAACCAAATGTGGAGGTGAAGAGTAATTTTAAATAGTTTTATTTTTATATACAGTATTATGATTAAATATAGCTTTAAAATAATTGTATAAAGATCTTACCAGAGAAGTAATAGAGTAATATTCTGGTGTACGTGTCTGACCGACGTTGAAGAAAAACACTGGAAACTGTGTCAAGTAAAAGGAATAGGAAATCCTAGTAAACACTTGGAAACCTTTCCATGAAAGGACTCTTGATAGGAACCCTGAAACATGAAAAAAACAATGAAACCCTAACACATAAAAACTTTTTAGTATTTTATAAAAAAGAGACAAACCAGAACTATTTGTAATCAAAACCTCGTCTTGTTATTACAAAGGGTTTCCTTTATCCTTTATTTTGTATTTATTTGTCTGTTTAGATGACAACTAAGTGTAAGTTCCTAGCTTTGAAATTCTTGTTGACAAAAATTGTCATAGTTAATTTTCACCTGTTGTTAAAAAATTATCAACTGTCCCAAAACTTTGAAATTATGCTGTAAATATCCCAAACATTTTGTGCAAAGTATGCAAAATTCACCATCCTTGTGACATTCAAAGTGGTTAAGTGATTTAAATCTTTCTTTACAAAGAGCTCTTGTAAATAAAAATATAGCCTTTACTGACCAGCTGACAGCAGGAGAGAAGAAGATATTTTTAAAGTTTTGAAAGGTTATAAATGAAGGATGACCTTTTTACTTGTCACAATTCAGATCTACCAAGATACCGAGATTTGTGATCTCCATTGGATATGACATTCTTTTTCAACCTATAAAACAAACTATTGACATACTGCATTAATATTAATTTATTTGGGCCAATGAAAAACTCAGTGAAACTAAATATTATACAAGGGCTAACCAAATACAGTAGACTCCCTCTTACCCAGGTACCTTTAAACCGGACTACACTCGGCACTCGGCAGAAGAGACACCTCTTTAACCAGACATTTTTTTATTTGCTGACCAAACAGTGAGGTTCAACCAGACTGGATCGGCAAGAAGTTGGTGGTACGGTAGATTTTAAAGGGACAACGTCTTGACATAATCTGGTGTTTTGTGTTTACAGTAATCATCCCGAAGTGTCTAGTTTTACTATTTTTATGAAATAATCATTATTGGTTTATACGGTATGCATTAGACGTTCTTATTTAATGAGTCGTAGTTTAAGGACTTCAGTTTAACTGGAAAAAGCGTTATCCGGAATGGTCTCGGTCCCGAGTAATCTGGATAAGAGGGAGTCTACTGTAGCTAGACATTCTTTTATATACATATATATATATATAAACACGAAGGTGGTTTTTTAAGTAAGGGCGGGTTATGCGTATAAATCCGTAATTCACTTGTACAACGTAACGAGGCTCATCATCATTTATTTACTGGCAACATTTGTGAACAGAATGACACAAATTTCAGCTCTTTTAGCTGTCATGTATCCTTCGCTGTTTGTTTTTACAATTTTTTTAACAATCAAATCTCCCGCTGTTCACAAATGTTGCCAGTAAATGGTAATGAGCCTCGTTGCGGCGTAAAAGTAAACTATGGATTAATACACAAAAATGGTGTTTACTTAAATAACCGCCCTTATACATTCCCAAGAGAATACCTCCATTTCCGGTGTGTGATGTGAATATTATCCAACCAAAGAACAGACACCATGTGATTGGAGCGAATGCTGCGTAATTGGCTGCGTCAAGTCTGTTGTATACGTAGTTACGGTCTCCCATCTTTGCGGGGCTTACGATCGATTGGTAGAGCATGCAGATTGCAATAAACCATCCCAGGGTCAATTGGCTCTGTAAAAATATGGTTATTAAAATAAAATCAGATTTTTGATGAGGGATTAATGCCGGACTATAAAATATAGGAACATATCAACTGTATTTCTTTACTCGGTCTTTGAAGCCACATGTTCTGCCACTAGACTAGCTCGCTCCCATTTACTAAGACTAGAGGGTGTACAAATTCAATATTTAAAATAAGCCACTAACGTCTCTATTAAAAAATAAAAGCACTCAAATAAAATGGTGACGTTAGAAACATAGACAAACAAGGATCTATATAATGTTCTTACTCGTGTGTTGTAAACAGTGGCGGCGATAGCAACCTACGGGCCCCCCTGCAAGTTTGTCCACCAGGCCCCCATCTCCCAATAATCTTTAAAAACATTATCACAGCTATTTCCTCATAAGCTTACACTTGGGTTTAGCACGGCATCTCCCGAGGCACTGGAACGTTAGCATTATCTGCCATGATCGCAGAAAAATCAAGAATACTTTCTGTGGTCATGGAAATATCAACGTCTACTGTGATTGTAACCAAATCCAGGTCATCTCCTGCGGTTGTGTAGACAATATCTTTGTCTACCTCGATCGTGGCCAAAGACCTTAACATCTCCCGCTGTGACAGAAACATCTATTTTTGCAAAAGCTGCAACATTTTTAATATATCCCGCGGAAAAAGAAATATCATCATCGTCTTATGCGATAGCGTCAAAATATTGATATTCGCACGGTCATGGAAACATCAATATTGTCTTCCACTATGGCAGCAAAATCCTGAACGTCTCTTACGGTTGTGTGGACGTCATTAGCGTTCCCCGCAATCGGGGCAAAACTATAATGCTGAACATCTCCCGCCGCCGCGGAGATATCGTCATCCGAAGGGTATGTCCTTGTCAACATTCGCGATTGCGGCAAAAGTGTTAATCTTTCAATCGCGTGATCCTCGCAGACACGTTCTGAGGTCGCAATATTATCGCAGTCGTAAAAGCTTGACTTGAGCTTAAATTTCAGACATTGAGCTAGATCTCTCAATCTTGTAGGCCAGGCTCGGCTGGGCTGGAAAATCTATATTCTCTATTAAAAATCAATACTTTCCAAAGCAAACTGATTTTGACAGACCTGATTTGGGACCCTAAGTTAAAATTTTTTTACCTGACTCGAAGTAACAAATCTGGTCTGCAGTTCCCTAATAGTATGAGTGAAAGAATGGAATTGTTTATTATGCTAGTGTTCCAGCCTCTTAGGTTTATTCACCAATTTGATCATAAAATAAATGGTCGAGTTCATTCAGTTGAATCATCATAGTCATCATAGCCTTTCTCGTTTGACCCACCGTGGGCCACATCGATTCTAAATACTAACCTGTTATAGCGCCTTCACTCAGGTCTTGAGAGCAGTTGATGCAACCCGCATGACTGCAGATCAAGTATTGTGAGTTTAGCTGTTGTGAACTACTTGTCCTAGCGATCATTTCGTCATACAAAACGTATGGTAATATTCATATATAAATATTGTTATGATAGGGGTGTGGCAGGGCATGTCGCGAATACGGATCCCGGTAAAATTTCCTGAAAAATCCCTTTCAAGGCTCGCGAGCCTGACCAGTTCGCAACAGATTGTAAACTTTTAAAAAAGTTTTCAAAAAATTTGTTTAACTTTCAGATTACTGTTTTTCAACGTGAAATAGTTTACATACCTTGCTGAGATGGTGGAACATTTCAATACTAAGTTAGAAAACCATCTACTTTTCCAAAACTTACTTTTGGTTTTTATCCATTACAAATTTAAGAAATTACTCACAGTTTTAAGTTTGAAGTCAGTTCCCCAATGCCATAGTCCATATCCCAAGCTGACTCCCATGGCATAGACTGTAAAACGATGACTTGGAAGAATGTATGAATAATCGGCTGTATCAAACATCTGTGATACGCTGCAAAATATGAGAAACCATTATTTAGAAGTATGTGCTTGAGACAAATTTAAGGCAAAATCAAGTATAGTAGCTATAACATAACTGAGGTAGTTAACTATGCTCATAACTTTTGTAATGGAAATAGTTTGTTAGACAAATACAAGGATAATTAAAAAATATCATAAAAAAAATACCAGCAACAATAACAATACAATTATAATAATTAAAACCTATATAAAATGTCTAAGTTTTGTCATTAAGTTTAATAAATTTTGATTACCTTCTTATATCTTAGACTTTTGAGGTGCTAATGTAGAAGAGGAAACTAGCTTTTCCTTTGTCTCTTAAGTTTCATCGTTTTACATTAATTTAATACTCTGTTGATTAACCTAGATATGGATTATTTGAACCCCAATGAGACTGTGGTTTTTCATTCATTAAACATACCTACTGGTCATAAAACACTGAACTGTTGTGACCAAAATATGAAATAGCTTTTATTATTTGCCAAAATATAGTAATCTAACTAATAGGAAAAATTGAAACAGCCTTTAGCACTGCAAGTAATTTGTGTAAATTAAACACTATAGTTTTATGGACAATTTTCATAAACGTTCCAGGCAAAATTTGAAAGATATTACAGTTTAATGTTAATCTATAACATTATATATCTTAGAATATAGGTAATTGCTGTATTAAAAAAAAATTAAAAATTACTGCAGTACAAACTGAAAATTTCTAATTGGGTAATGTGAATACTAAGAACTAGAATTCTAGTTAATACTTACGGATTACCAAAATAAACAAAGAGATTGAGATGGCGGATGTAGCTGGTGTAGAAGCGCAGCATTGTGGATATTGAGCCAAGAAGGAAAAGGGAGAGTAATCCCTGGCGGGGCCATCTCCACAGTAGCCACACCAGCAATGGAGATATAGCAAACAACTGTGTGTCTATACCAATATGGTGTGTGTGTGTCAAACACTGCAAACAAAACAGAGATTAGAGAGAGAGAGAGAGAGAGAGAGAGAGAGAGAGAGTGAGAGAGAGAGAGTAATCCCTGGCGGGGCCATCTCCACAGTAGCCACACCAGCAATGGAGATATAGCAAACAACTGTGTGTCTATACCAATGTGGTGTGTATGTGTCAAACACTGCAAACAAAACAGAGATTAGAGAGAGAGAGAGTAATCCCCAGCGGGGGCCATTTACACAGTAACCACACCAGCAAATGAGATATAGCAAACAACTTTGTGTCCAGTAACAGAAATGAGTAACAGAGTGTCGGCGTAGATGAACACCTATGGTTCAGGGTTAATCCTCTTACAATACCAATGTGGGGGGTACGTTTCAATGGTTCAGTGGAAAATCAAGTAAATTTGGACAGCTTTTATCAAATGTGTAACATTAATGTTACTCTTATAAAGTGTACACCATTTCAAGCACTCAACAATAAAACTCCATGACTGTATTCCATCCAAAAGTCAAAACCATCGGCATTCATTTATTTAAATTTTTATTTCTCTTTTGGGTATTGTTATTTACTGTCTAAAAGCACAGAGAAATAAATTGGATTTACTGGTCAGTCAAGAAATATCAACTTCCTTAGAAATATCTGGTTTCCTTAGTTTACAAAAAAGTTAACTAGAGAAAGCTGTAGTTTCTAGAATTGTTGAATCATTGTGTCATCTGGAAAAGGTAAGAGAGCTCAAAGGTTTTTTCCTTTGTTGTTATTAGACATTAAACCATAGATTGGTTTATCACCAAAGCAGTTTCTGTATGATAACATCATTATGTGGGCTTCCACACTCACCATGTTTTTGAATCCGAAGTAGTTATGGATAAATAAGAGGTTGCGCCACCACGTGGTCTTGCAAACCTCAGCGTGATGACGGACCACCAAATTCCATTGAGGTCCAGAACCGAGGATTGGCATCACAAATGTGCAGAACAAGATGAGGGCTCCAAGGGTAGGGACCAGACTGTAAACATTTTTAAACCACGTTTTCAACAAACCAAATGAAACTGTTACTTGGTCTTATCAGAAACAGGGTACAAATAAACAGTTTTTTGTTATTTAGCTGCATAGATTTGATAGTGCTCATAGTTATAAGAAAGTAGCTGGTTCGATCCTGAGAAAAGTCAGTATCTTTCATGGACGTAGAAAACTTTTCCCAGCTGACCTTTATTATTGAAATTTTAATGAACTGTCCTGGCTAAATCAACAGCTGTTATTAGTCTGTAATGTACAAAAGGCATTTCACACCATTTTACACTCATATTCAAGTTAAAATTTGCACTGAAACGTCCCAATATAATGGTATGATAATATTAACACTATAAGTGATCAAGCATTATTTTTTCTTATTTATATTTTGCATCTCATTTAATGACTCTAGATGTTTAACCAAGTTGATTCATCAATTGAAACTAGTTTTTAAAAGTGCACTCAATTTGATAACAAATTGAACTAACCTAGAGATGCCACGTTATGAAAAAGATACCTAGGGCCCTATCTTTAGAAACCTGGTGTTGCGGGACCCAGCTTTATCATTGGTATTTTTATAAGTGGTCTAGGGGTTGTTACCCCTCATGAAACATTATGGATCGCTGATGATTTAATTTTTGGTAAATGATTGAGCACTTTCAAAACCAACACAGTTAGCAGTATAAAATGTGTATACAGGTGCAAACCTATCCTTAACTATAGTAGTAAGACCTGAGGTGGAGCGGGGCCAAGTGCAAACATTCAGAGCGGGGCCCCTGACTACCAATGAAGTAGTATCCCAACAATACTAAGTATAACAAATTTCAATCCATAAATTATATTATACTCCACCCTGTTTTCAAAATTGGTGTAAAATTCAAGGAGTTTTTACAATGTTCTTTTGTATTTTTTACCAAGAGCAGGGCCCTCCAAGGTGCGGGGCCCTGTGCACCTTTCACATGTGCCTAAGGCCAGCTCTGAGAAAGACATTACCGAAGCAATCGAGAGAGGTACTCCTTGCGCACATCAATGGATCGTTTGCGGGCAAGATGTCTAAGAAGACTGTAAGTGGTGAGGAGACCACTGATCATGATGAAAGGGTCTGTGTAAAGACTGGCAGCCCGAGCAATAACTGTCCAAGGTTTGCCCAGAACCTGAAACCAATCATTTTGGTAGAGAATGTCAATAGAGAAACAGAAACATTATTAACTTAATATGTTTCAATTGTTATTTTGTTATTACCATGGTATTATAACCTTCTGGGGTTACAGTAGTTAAGTTTGGTAAATCGAGCCTCTAGTACATGTTATGTCTTCTTTTAGATAAACTTGTACCTGGATCCCATCATAAGTCATTATACTGTCTAACAACTTTTCTTATGGTGAATAAATCACTGGTGATAAGAAAATCTTCCAGTCCTTGAGGACCAAAGTATAGCACCCCCAATTTACCAAATCTCATACAATATGTGAAGATCTTGTAAACTGTAAGGACTTGTCTTACCTAGAATTTTTATATTCAAAATAGTACCTCAGCCATGGCTGTTCGGTTCACAAAGGGGTTGAAGAAGAGAGCCATGGATTTGTGGGACATGAGAAGCATGAAGGCGTTCAAGGCTCTGATCCCGTGAACACAGTGGATGTCTTCTGGGGATTCAGAGAGGGAGAGCAGCTTACGACTGTTGGACAGTAGTGAGAACGCTAGGAGAACCTCCATGGCACGTGCTGGAACCAATATTGTCTTGGTAAACAGGGACTGGTAAAAATACCTTATTTTTTTGGCAAAAACATTTTAAATGAAAAATCCCGATCAAAAGATATCTTAGTCAACAAGGCAGTTTGTTCCAAGGAACCTTTTTCGACCTTTCTCAAGATATGTTATTTTTTATTTAAATTGTATTTGAATTTTAAAAAGCACTTGGTTTAGGATTACAGGAAGAAGGAATGGATACAGAACTAACGAACTAACGAACTTTTGTGGGGAAAAGAGTTCCCCACAAAGGGCCTCTTCAGAAGAAAGAAGTAGAATGAAATTCTTTTCTTTCTTCTGAAGAAGCCTCTTGTAGGAGCAATATATCAAGTTTATTATGTCGTGGACTTTTTTGTGCTTTTAACTACCTGGAACTCTTTTCTTATTAAGTTAGTTGTGTATTCTTTCCTTCTTTTTAGGTAGTATTTCAAATTTGCACATAAATTTATGTTAATATATCCTGTAATGAACCCCTTACAGTTAAATTGTAACTCTACCCAAGGATGGATTTCTGTATGTATCTTTAACTTCGCCAACACTACTGGCCGAATAACCCTGTCTCTCTTTCAACATCGTCTTCATCTTTTGAAGACCAATATTCTAAAAACGTTCCTTTCACAAATAAATATTTTTAAAGCCCCAATGCACAACCACAAGTTATGTCATACTAGGCATTTTACATTTTGAAAATTTAGTCCAAACAATTAATTATAAGGCTGTTCTTTTCAGTTTAGGTTTTGAATTTGTTGAGTCTCAATTGATGTGGAATATGGAATACTCACTGACGTGTCGCTTGTCTTGGATGAGGTAGTCAGTGATGGTGGCCGTCGCTATCACTCCCATGATACCCAGAAAAAACCCTCTGTCAACAATCAACATTCTGATGTTAGTGTTTAATCCAGGTTTTTTTCATCTGCAGAGCTCTTCATTTAACCATTCAACCCAACACAAGATCTTCGACATTGGAACTCATTTTGTTCCAAACTAATCCTAAATCTCCTGGCAACTCTTCTTTTCTTTCAAAGGTTTCTTCATCCTCAGGGTTTTTAGCTAGCCTACTGTTATGTTCTTTGTTTCAGAATAAAGATATGTTATCATGTTAAAATTTATAAGAAAAAATGCATTAATGTGAGAATAAGAAAAAAGGATTTTTAACACGACGTACAGTTGGATAATCAACTCACACGTTATTACAAGTATTATTCAAAAATAGGTTTTATTCAAACACTATGATAAGAAATATGATGTTATTATTATTTTTTGTTATTGTGGATATTTTATCCAAATTTGGATTTTATATTATAAAATTATCAGATGAAAAATATGCATGCCCTGAGCAGCAGTTGTGAAATGTCCAGTGTGGGAACACTCACTATCGTCTAAGAACCTACTAGCATAAAGGATCAAAATAGGACAATTGGAAAAAGAAAAATGGGAAGGCTCTTCCCAGGCCCTGAGGCAGTGGTGTATCCAGGGAGGGGGCACAAGGGAGTGCAGGGCCAAGTGCCGTTTGTCTAAACACTTTGACAAGGGTCATTTTACAGCCTGAGGCTTGGCGGGGCGAGTGCCGGCCAGGTATAGGTATCAGTGACCAGGTACCGGTTCCACGGTGCGGCGGAAATGGGGGTGGAAAGATAGACACGTGAGGGGGGGGATGAGCAAAATTTGTTTAAAGGATAAAATGAAACTGTTATAACCTAACAGTTATAACCAAATTAGCTGATTATGAAAAAATTTAATGAAGGTTTACTGATCGAATCGATATTAATTTTCAATCGATATTAGGGTAGCACAGTTAAGAAACTGTACCCGGTCTCCTTTACATCCTGCCCACTACATCCCCTTCCACCTTCCACTAATACCCCCTCCCCTGAATCACTCTTACGCTCTGGGGAGTCAAACGGCACTCGACCTATCTGACGGTTTTGACAGTTTATAATCCCCACGGCAAAGAATAGAACGGCACTCGCTCCGTTTCCCGGCACAAGGGGGCCGGCCCCCCCCCCCGATTTTTTTTTATATTAGTGATGTGTTGTTTCTTGATACCAATTCTCGATACCACCGATACACACATTGGACATTGGTAACTTATCGCTGTTGAGAATCGATCATCAAAAGTTGATTCCGATACTGATACCAGACACTTTTGAGAAAATCGTGCGATCGGAAAATTACCGCTTTTGCCACGATCGTGCAAAAAGGCGATGATGTCTTCACGGCCGCAAAGACAACAATGATGTCTACTCGATCGCAGGAGTTGATCCGATTTTTGCAGCGATTGCGGAAGACGACGATAATGACCACACGACCGCAGGAGATGATCAGAATTTTGCCACGATCGCGGAATATGACCATAACATTTTCGTGACCACCGGAGACGATGAGGGTGAATGTCTGCTTGGCCGTGGGAGATGATCTGAATTTTGCCCCGATCGTGGAAGACTATGATAATGTTTCCATTTCACGGGGGATATTCATTTAATATTTTGCCGTGACCGTGGGAGGCAATGACGAAGTCTGAATTGATTCAAATTGATTGGACGCGGAAAATTATCAAATTTTTCTGCGATAGGGGGAGATGATTATGATGTCTACTCGACCGTGAATACGACAATGATGTCCACACGCCCGGGGGAGATATTCCAAATTTTGCCGCAGTATTTTGTTATTAGATCAAAAGGTTAGAACTTTATATCAAAGAGTCTCCGCTCGAGAAGCTTTGTCTTAGCAAAATCCATTTCTACGTATATGAGTATAAATAGCTTGCAATGAAACATAGTCATACATGGCCATGAGTGATGCTGGAGGAGGGATGATGGAGTCACTTTGGACCTGACACATGGAGGGGTCCACACGCACCCTGATGATCAGCTCGGGAGAAGAAAGGAAGTGGTCCACAGTTGAGGCGAGAGCTTGTTCCACTTCCTCGGGAGGGCACGAGGCAGGTACGCAGACTGCCCAGTTGACCGAAGAGAACCTTGGAACTCGATGACCAGGCTACATACAAAGGATGATCAAGATTAGAGGCCTTTGATATACAATGTGTTTTTTTACGCAAGCCAAATTACAAGCATAGACGGATTAACTGTTTAGGAACAAAGCAAGCTTATAATAAATAAATACGAGGAAACCAGTGCAAAAATTGCATATTGTTATAGGGTTTGATTCTGAGGCAAAACAAATAATGCAATACCCTTTCACTTTTGAAAAATTATGTTTGTTTGAGACAGATATTAGTTGGATACAACTACTAATTTACAATAAATTAAATTTGTTGCATTTATATCTAAAACATGAAGATTTACATACCTCAACCAGGTTATGGCTATAAAAAGTATCCTACTTGAAATTAATTTTCATGAACTGTTAACAATTTGACTGAGGTTTAACAATAAACTGAAAGATCAGCTGTTCTCATTTAAATTCACATTTAAATTGTTACAAAGAAAGTTAGTCAGCATCACTTAATCTTTGAAAGCAAACTTAAAAAAAAAACAAGCGGTAGGGGGCAAAGCCCTAAGAGAAACATTTTTTTTTATTTACCATTGTCACTCTGCTTGATCATGCATGAGCTTTACAATGACACCTCAATTGTAAAAATAAGTAGGACGGCTGAAATAGGGATGTAACAGAGAAAACCCTTATTGTATGAAGTGCATAGATGGATAATAGTATAATGTTTTAAATTTTGATATGTAGATTGGCAACAGTGATGCACCATATTGATTTCGTTCAATAGATTGCTACCAAGGTTGACAATTCATAACCCTTAAATCCAACCAACCACAGATAGTGTCATTAACCCCCACCTGTTTGAGACCATCTATCCAAGCGCCCCAGTCGTCCACCAGCTTCACCGGCTTCGCCATGTAACGTTTCAATAATCAAACGTTTCTGAAAAATAATTCTGGTTTTTGGAGAGCCCAAACATATATTTAAATGTTTATAAAAATTGTTTTTGTTCTTTTCCTCTAGAACAAAATACTGGTTTGCCCCTCTACAAAAATTTGCTGCTGTTATGAAAATACTTTAAGAAAAAACTAGGTTTTTGTCAGACCTAAAAGTAACTGTGATGTAAAAACAGTGCTTGCTCTAATTTTCTATACTTAAGTTTACATACATCTTCTAGATTGCTGCGGAAAGCGTTGTGGGAGTGTACGAGATTATGCAGCACAGACACCATCCCTCCCTGGGACATCCCTGGCCGCAGCTTCACCTCAATGTACGCAAGGCAGTATTGCCCTCTGATCACCCCTCCTGGCTGCTGCGACCTCAAGCACTGGTCAAAGTCCCCAAGTTGGTTTATGTTGCCGTTTAGGAGCCCTGAAGGTAGTTTGGCGTTTGCGTCAAACACTAAAAATGTCAAAAGTGGATTAGAGAAAGTTTTCTTATCCTATCTGTCAAACCTTTGTCTTCGAGAGGTTGCAGTGGTGAAAATACTGGCCACTTAGAGACATGATAACTCTCGAAGATTAAGATTTGATAGTTTACATATAAGATTAAGACTAAGATTTTGACTACAGAACCTATAGAATTTATTAATAATATAATATTACCCTTTTAGTTTTCCTACCTGTATTTGCAATGTTAAACTACTACGCATGTATTTTGACTCCTCCATCTCATCACCCTGTTGTTAAAAACATTGTTCATGACCCCTGTTGTTTGAAACTGTGTATGATACAATGTAAATATATAATTTTGAAACTATTTTCACTCCCTGCATTGCATAGCATGTTTAAAATAGATATACAATTAATTTTGTTAGATTCTAAATCTTTTTATTTATTATTTTTACCTAAACAAGAGATTCATATTAATTTATCTCAACCTTAATGAGTGTTGGACTTTGCCCTAGCCACCAGGGACTAGTGCTAGACACCACTTAAGCGTACTATTGAGTGATTCCTCTGTACCTTACTTCTCTGTGGCTCCAGTCGCAGAAAAATAGAGATACCTCTCTGGAATGAACTGCTGCTAGCTACAATCCAAATGGATTATAAGTACCATACACTCAACCCCTTCCACATGTTGTTTAAATGCCAACCTTTGTTGGGTGATCCCTTTAGATAGCTTGAAGAGACAAGACCATGGGGAAGGCCAAGGAAGAATGTGAGGAAACTTTCAGGGTTCATTAATGACCGGGGATGCACAGTAAGCTGAAAAGCTGCTTTGCAATTCCACAGAATGTTAAGACATCAGTTGAAAAACTACCGTTGTACTTACTTTTCAAAGCCCACATTTCGAAGTTATCCAGTTGCTGTAGATAGGTCTTGCTGTGTTCCCTACAGAGTGTGTTATTGCTGTGGATGGGGGCGAAGGGGGGGACCATTGACAGCAACATGGACGACAACTTCCATGGGACTTCTCTGCCTACATCACAAACAACATTCTGGAGATTCGTCAAAATAACACACAAATAATTATAGTTAAATCGTTAAAACTACTTTTTAATATTGTTTAAATGGAGAAAACCGTAGGTATGGCAAGAAAAAAATTGTTAGTTAATGTTTGTCCCAACTAAGATATCGTTGAAATTTGCATAAAGTTTACTAAACTTTATGTATCCTGTATTTTTTGTAAAATTGAATTTTTTTATAACATGGCGTATATATTTTTAAAAGTTGCAATTTTGCAAAGGTTCAAAGGTTTTTTCATATTTTGTATAAAATTAGTGGCTAGAAAGATATATTTTAGCCGAATTTCAATGCTCAATTTATCAAGGAGTAAGGTATGAATGAGTTTGTAAATAACACATACACACAGACATAAGGGTAAATGGTTCGAGATAGAACACATGTTGTAATTCATTTTTAGATAGTTACTATAGTTATGACGAGATGTCTAACAAATATATATACAAATCAACTAACAAAATAATAAATAATTTTAATAAACAATTGACCTCTGGCACTAAACGTTTCCTCTACCTCTAGAGGAATATGTGTTATCAAACCGGTTCTTAAATTTCGTGGACATCTTTAATTTACATTATTATTAATTCAATTATCTATTACTGATTATCATTGGGTTGATTTTTTCTCGTACGGTATTTATTAGTTTAACGGGAGAGAGATGACAAAGACAGAGGCTTACGACAACGCTCCTCTTGAAACCTAAATTGTTCGTCCGCCAACGCCAATGCGTCCGAATTATCACTACACAAATTTCGACTCATAACTTTAATAACCCTCTCAACTATTCAGTACACATTTAGTGTGGTCAATGGTTATATGGTCGATGGTATTCATCCGAATGACATTTTATTTTGTACTGTAGACTATTCTACAATTTGTTAGTACTGTCAGGGTGATTGATATAAGTGTGCCGGCCGTTTTATTCGAAAACTATAAGAGATATCAAAAAAAGTTAAATGGTAAGTGCCTTGGATTTTTTATTTAAAAAATTATAGTCAAGTCAAAAAAAATATTTTAGCCGCCATTTTTTCAATATGGCCGCCAACTTTGATTTTTCTTATGGAACACCCTGTATTTTATGATGTATTCTGGTAGAAAATGTAATTTTAAGACGATTTTACTCTTGTAATTTTTTTCATAAACTTAACCGTTTCAAAGATAATAATGGTTAAAGTTTTGAAATTTCTGCATGAGAAAGAGTTTCGATAAAGGCCTAAGCAAGCATGCTAGCTGTTTTATTCGAAAACCATTCAAAATTTCACAACTTAAACCATTATTATCTTTGAAACGGTTAGGTTTATGAAAAAAATTACAAGAACAAAATCGTCTTAAAATTACATTTTCTACCAGAATACATCATGAAATACAGGGTGTTCCATAAGAAAAATCAAAGTTGGCGGCATATTGGAAAAATGGCGGCTAAAATAATCTTTTTGACTTGACTATAATTTTTTACATAAAAAATCCAAGGCACTTACCATTTAACTTTTTTTGATATCTCTTATGGTTTTCGAATGAAACGGCTGGCACACTTATATCAATCACCCTGTATGTATCCTTTTGATTAGATGGATCGCTATAAACATATGTTATCATTATTTTGATCACATTTTCTAGTTAATCCAAAACCAACATAGCAACCCGTAGTACCATTTAAAACATATTAAAATTTAATTTAAAAACTTTTAAACAAAAAATGAACTTTCCAGAACGTGCCTTAGCGTAAATATTATTTTTGTCTAAAACTAAGATATTTCTAACAATTTAGAAGCTATTTTTCAAATGATTGTGTTCGCAAACATTGCTCAATTAGAGCATGCGTTTTAATATTGTATATTTTATATTGATATGTGGATCACAAACAAAATAAATGGTATTTCATTTAGGGAACGCTCCGCAGAAACATGGCGAAAAAGTACGGTGCTAACCAAACCATGAACAGATAAAGAAGTAAATAAAACGTCTAATCTTCTTATACTCCGTTCAAACAGCCGTGGCACCTGACGGGTTAGGACACCCCATGGAAACCCTTGGGGCCTCCTAATCCCTCAGGTGCCACGGCTGTTTGAACTGAGTATAGGTCATTTAACATAGGAACATGGCCTGAACTGATGTTAACCAATCCTCAGATGAAGGCATGAGTAATCAGAAAGTTTGATCTTTGGTACGACTTGATAACCAAGCAAGGTTATTGGCTGTTCATTATATTATAGTAGTAGCCAACGCTTGGCTTGAATAAACCCTATAATAACGTCCTCGACCATATAGCATATGGAAATTGCAAATTACATATCGCCCGGTGTGCAAAAATGTCGGAGATCGTTCCTTAACCTCCGACCCCAAACGAATACGACGTATAATTAAAGACCCCCGATGAAACGCCGGTTAGGTCAAGGCTAACCCGTACACGACCAGGAATAGCAAACCAAACGATACACCCAATTTTCTCATATCCTTGCATCTCGTGTTTTACTTAACGATTACTTTGGCAGGGGATCGTTTTTCCATTTTGATTTCATCGTGTGAGCCAGCGCGCTGCAGATTCCGGCATAAAATACAACCTATGGATGGTTAATGAATTTTTAATAATAATAGAATAATTAATAATAGAAAAGTAAGGAAACATATGTTTTGAAACTAGACCCAGAACTCCTTGATTGTGGCTTTAAACTAGTTATTGCTAAAGAATCAACTGATCTTGATGTGTAACACTGCAAATCAAGGTATCTCAAAACTCTTACTCTTCACTTATAATTGCGTCAAAGAACGTCCAAAATCATCCCCTTCTCAATTAGTAATGCACGATAATTCACTTTAAACAGTACACAAAAAATGCATACGTTTGTAAACTAATAGTTACGTTGTTTTCCAATGTAGTTGGTATCAACAGATGATAAGACACATCAAGTTTAGTTTGAACAACTGATTGTCGTCGACAATGAAAACATTGTGTGATGTTTTCAAATTTAGGGTTTAGGAAGAAAATTACCTAATATTTTAATCAAGTATTTTTTGCGCTCGAGTTTGAAGAAATTTTATCAGCTACTGTTCAACTCAAGACCCGTTGTTGCAAGACTCCTAGGCGCATGCAAACGTAAAGTAAATTTACACTTACCTGGCTGAATTTCCACTAAAATAATCCCTTATAATTGACAGATTAATTTCCTATTCAAATAACATTAATTTTAATGAGTACTTAGGGAACTGCTACAGGAAAAGTAATAATGTATGCGTTTTTATTTAAACGTTGATAGCTTAGTATGAAATACACGAATTTGTCAAATTCGATTAAAATATATCTATAAATTAGCAACGACAACAGTTCACTTATTCTCCATAATAATAACATGGGACTTTTTAGTTTATGTATACTTTTTTGGAATTTCCTCCGTAACTGTTAGGGCATCGCTGCAATATACTGAATTATTTGTTTGTATTTAAGCTACACAAAATAGTTCGGAAAGAAATAGAAAAATATTATGTTTAGGTCAAAAATGGGAAATTCAAATTTTTACTCCATAGGCTACAACCACTTTCCCATAGTCCGATCTTCACTCAGTGGCTCGCGAAAGGTAGTGAAGTTAACGTACCCATATTAGCGTTTCCACTTTTGTTCATACCAATCGTTAGTTATCGATAGTTCCCCAATATTGTTGTTAGTTGTCAAAAATAAAAAAAGTTATAAGGAATTAAACGTGGTTAGGTCAACTTCACACATAAAGCCTTTCTAGCGTTAACCGTTTTCTGATAAAAAGTTCAACGTACTTCTTTTTTATTTTTCGAGAACTAACAACAATATTGGAGAACCTTCGAGAACGAAGAACTAACGGTTGATATGTAAGTATATTTCATCAGAAAACTTATATTACGGACCTACTCGCGAACTCGTTCGTATAAACATAGGATTACACGTTTGTACCAAGTTGAATTAAAATCGAATTCGCGCTAATGGACACACACACACTCACACGCACACAAATATTGATATATATTAAAATTAAATATATATGAATTTGATTAGATGGTGGATATAAAACATAGCATTATTAGACCATCGAAGTTGTTATTTCTTTTAGAATCAACATGTACAATATGAAAAATATAGTAAATCATGTAATCACAGAAACCCCTTCGACATCGAGTCGTTTAAGTTGACTTGTTATCTTATAGCAAAATACTTAGTAGCAATTAATAACAAACTGATAGAAACGTATAACTTAAAAATAAAACTACCACAATACAAAATACTCAAAATCTGTTTATTAAATCTTTTAAAGTTAAATCCATCTATCAACAAAAACAAATTTATCAAACTTGGTTGTCAAAATATCAAATTTGTATACCGTATAATCTATTCAGGCCCTTGACATATGATTTTCATTATGGGCATTTTAAGGTCGAACTGAGTTGGGAAAACAAAAGATGACATCAGTCGCCCACCCAGAGTCCAAATTATAGTGTATGTGGCCTTCGTTTTAACTTGCGGGGTTAAAACTCGGAAGGATGCACGACTCACAATTTAACAACCAGATATCTCAACATATTAGATTTCATGTCGACTTAATTGAATTTACCACACTTTTCTATAAACTTTTTCCGAAATTCCTTTCTAATTGATCATTCATGAACTCTTTTCTGATCCTTAGGAGACTCCTAATAAGACATATTTACATTTATGAGGTGTAAAAGCTTATTTTATAATAAGTTTGCATCGATTTTACAAATTATTATAATATATCTTATGGTGATTATATATAATTTTAAATGTCACTAGTTCAAGTTCTAAAATCCAATCGAACTGTTTTCATCAATAACTTTTACGCCACACTACATTATTTTGACGAACTTCCCACGCAAGGAATTAGTCCAGAAAACAGCTGTTTGCCGCCAGCTTATTCAAATGGGGTTTCATTGCGTACTACTGTGCTGCAATGAGTTTTGCCGGACACCAATCAG